CAGTTGGGCGCTTGGTCAGGGCTTCCACATCCCTCGACGAGACGTGTTCAACGTCTGTCTTCTCGGTGATCGCCATGACTCAAAAGCAATTGGTGTTGCTGGAAGGTGCAAAGATGCTGAGTGGTGTTCTGTCTACTGAAGACCCTCAACAAATGGTCGAGGGCGACGACTGTCTTTATTCGATTGAACCAAAGGTCCATGTGCCAGACTTTGCACTGGATGGCCAACTGAACCGCCAAAACCTCCATCCCGAAATTGCGAGCCTGGGGTCCCCGTGGGGTAGCCCCAAGGGAAATTCCACAACCTAGTGGGACTATTGGGGGTGGCTTTGGTCTCCATTCAGGTTGTGACACAGCTCGCCCCCTAGTCGTTGGGCGTTTTGGCCATCAAAGCCACTTTGGAATTTCCGATGGATTTCCGCAACCAACCAACTTTCACCATTAACTAATATGGTGCAACCTGTAATACGTCGTTTGGCCTATCGATCATGCCTTGGAACCATTAAGGTTTGGCGAATTCCATCTGCCAAGCACTGGACGGAACACTGCTTGGCAACTTTATCAACCAACTGATATCGCCGGATCCTGCGGATAGCGAGCCATCTCAACATGAGTGACGTGTGTTATGTCGATGCCGATTTTTGAATTCCGTCGTATCATATTCCGATGTCCTGCTAACTTCATTGCCTCGACTACAGATGGCATTGCATCTTGACCGCGCTAAAGTATTCGGTAAAGGATTGGTTCTTCACGCAGACGAACATGTGTCTTGGTATTTGCGCATATAGAACGAGGGCTCACGAGTTTAGGATGTGTTTCATTGTGATGTAGAAATGACGTGAATTGAACAAGCCTACGTAAAGCAACGCCAGAATACGTTAAGCACCATGACCAAGCCCCCAGTTGACAATTTCTACAGTCTCAACGTGACCGACGTCCGTGCCAAACTTCGAGTCCACAATGAAGCTCTTTACTTCATGTGACTGAGGCTCAACCCCATTAGACTTGGGCTCAGCCTTCTTGGAGCCATTAAAGGCAGCCGCGGATTCGCGTGCGGCCACCGCATCGCCAGGATGAGGAGCGAGCTTGGCTCTGGTATCGGCTGGCGGCGACGGCTGCTCAACAGTGAGGGGAAGAATGCCAGCGTTCTCGAAGGAGCGGAAGGTCTCAATGTACGTGTCGTATGTGTCATCGTACCTGGTCCATCCGAACTTGCGAGCCTTGGAAACGGAGCCAATAGTGAGCCAAGCCTTGCCAACTGCCCAGTCAAAGAAATCCCAAGTACCCCAGTTGAATGCTTCGGGATTTCCACCATGCTTCTCTACGACACGTTTCCAGACGGGCGCCTTGTCTTTGGCCCATTGGGTCATGAGGAAGTTATGCTCCATGCGCTGGCCGTCACCCGCGGCGCTCCATTCTTGTATCTCGGGGAACTAATCATACCGAGTCAGCAGTGAGAGCGGACTGGCCAGAGACAAAACTCACATCAACACCGAAGTACTTTCCAAGCTTCGGCCAGAAGTGCTTCCACACGAAGACATCACCGTTGGTGTGGTTGAATGCTTCGTTCTTGGTATTTTCGGATGTAGCTGCCCAAACGTTCATGTCTGCAAGGCTGGGGGCGTAAGATGCATCATCGACAGAGTTGTAGAAGAACTTGTTTCCGGGGAAGACAGGTACCTCGCCCATCTCACGACAAGTCAGAATGTAGATGGCCAGAGTCAAGGCGGCAGACATGCCGTTACCTGTTGCGATACTGTCAGAAACAACGTTTTTTTATTTTTCGATGGCATTATGACTTACCAGCAGGCGTAAATCCAATGATGGCGTTGGGACGGATGACATTCCAGTCCCATTCTCTCTTGGACGCGAGATCGAAAAGATAATCTTCCTGAGGGTAGTAGAAGTTCTCTCCATGATCCTCATAGCGAGGCATTCCTTCGTGGATTGGGACCTCGACAGGGCCAAGATGCACGCCGTAGTTCTAATCGTCTGTGTGTGAGTTCCCGGTTCCATGAATGGATCAAGGCCGAATGCCTACCTTTCCGCCAGTGCTGAGGCAGACGCGCTTCAACGAGTTCCAGGCGACCGTGTCAATGGCACTAAGGAAGTTCTTGAACAAAGGAACGTTGAGGTCCCGAAGCTTGGCGAAATCGGCAGTGTGGACATAGGAGGCGAAAAAGGCATGTGTAACGTCGTGGCACAACGGCTTCATAGCCTCCACAAGTTCATCGACTGGCTTCAAGAAGTCCAATGCAATAAAGCGGATGCGAGGGTCTTGCCAGAACACTTGTGTAGGTGTCCTCCTGGAAGAAATGACAATCTTGGACCATTCGGTCGCTGGCTGACGTATGAGGTGTTCGACAATGGCATTGCCAGTAATGCCATTCGCACCAGTGACGAAGGCGACCTTTGCGCGGGTTGGAGACATGATTTTGGTGTAGAAGTGATATGGGTGCAAGTAACAGACTTGTGTGAAGTTGGCGGTGAATTTCAGTGCCGACTTCAATCGAATACTTTATGTGTTTGTATCGGCAGCACTGCAATGCGAACGTCTCGAGGACAATGGGCGATGTGAGGAAATAATTCCGGAGAGTCTGGAAATCCATCTTTGGGGTGCGAGTGGAGCGCTAATCGAAATTCCGAAGTCGCCGGAACTTGACCAGTCCGGGGTTGACCGTAGCTTCGGGGTCCTGGACCGAACGCCCGGTGACCAGCTATGGCTAAACAAAATGCCATCAGGTCCTGTGTGAGCTTGGGCTATGATTCTTGTAGCTCACAAATTGTTTTGCGGCTCTTCTGATTTCTTTTGCTGGTACACTTTGAAAGCAATCCTCCGTCAAGATGATTTACACTAGTCAGCATGTGCTCGAGTATCCCAAAGATCTCACCTTGACAGAACTATTACTCAACTACAACTTGAACCATACACCCGACAACCATCCAGCGATAATTGATGGCCTCTCAGGCAAAACAGTTTTCACCTATGCAAGCTTTCGGATTGGCGTCAGGAAGCTTGCTCATCATTTCCAGACCGTGATTGGCTTGAAGCCCGGTGACGTCGTGGGCATCTTATCAACAAATCGAGTACGGAATCTACAATCTTTCTTTTGATGGATTCAAATAACTGACTCTGGATCCCGAAGCACTATTTCCCAATCTGCGTCCATGCTATTTTAGCCACCGGCGCGGTGGTCTCAGCACTGAACCCTCTCTATGAACCTAGTGTCAGTGTCCACTTCTGCTTGACGCGACCAAGACTGACAAGTTCCAGGAACTATCACATGCTCTAGGACTAAGCAAGCCTAAACATGTGCTGGTTGAACAAGATCTTCTTTCGCGGCTTTCGAATGCAATTCTCATCACGACCGACCTTCCACATAGGCCAACCCTGCATGTTTGGGATTCTCTGGAAGCTCACGGCAACGATGTCAGGGTACTCGAGGTCGAGCACGTACTGCAGCACGGTTCTTCTCATTTTGAGGCGAGAAGCCTTCCGCCAGGAGCTGCCGCCAACTCTTTGGCTTTTATTTGCTTCAGCTCCGGCACTTCGGGTCTCGTCAAAGGAGTACAGCTAAGCCATGGCAACATTGTGGCAAACATTTTCCAGCAATCAAAAGGGCTAGAAGGGATGTTCACACCAAAAACTGTTGTGGCTCTCATCGTGCCTTTCTTTCATATTCTGGGCCTCGCTGGATTCTCGTGCCAATACGTCTGCCAGGTAAGATGACCCAGAGCAGCTTTGGGGACAAGGATTAATGATGGGGTTTAGGGAACGCCAATCGTGGCCTTCAAGAGGTTTGATATGGGCCCGCTCCTTGCAGCTGTCAAGAAGCATCGCAGTAAGAATTGACCCACGGGCGATCTTGGATTTATACGCTCGTCACTGATGATTCCCTCTAGTCACACATATTAATGTTGTCCCCCCAATCGCACTTGAGTTTCTGCGCAACCCGCTTGCTGCGCAGGGAGATTTCTCATCTGTGCAGTGTATGATGAACGCAGCTGCACCACTGAACCAGAGACAAGCAGATGAGCTCACAAAAAGGTTCGGCTGCGCCGTCACCCAGTGGTACGGTATGACAGAGGCCAGCCCCAGTGTGGCCTCACAGCGAGAGAACGAAGTCAACCTCAAAGGAACCATTGGCAGGCTGCTCCCTGGGATCGAAATGCGAATCATTGACGATGACGGAAACGGTGCGTTCTGGGACCTATCTGCCCTGGGCCGAAAGGTGACTTGCTGACGTGCCACAGACGCGAAGATTGGAGAGTTTATTATCCGTGGCCCGAACATCATGCAGGGATACGTCAGCAGTGGAAAGGTCGATAGCCCCATGACTGCCGATGGATTCATGAAGACCGGAGACATTGGTTACGTTGATGAGGACGGATACCTCTTTATCGTCGACAGGGCGAAGGAGATGATCAAGGTTAAAGGGTAAGTTGCCACGCTTGAAATACCTTTGATCATTTCGTGTACTGACTTTGGCGTGAAGGCAACAAGTCGCTCCCGCTGAACTTGAGGCCATCCTTATCACCCACCCATTAGTGAATGACGCTGCTGTTTGTGGCGTGTACAATGACCACGGCACATCCGAGATGCCTGTCGCTTACATCACCACTGATGTAGAGGGCCACCAAGAGCAACAGCGACTTAAAGAAGATATCCTCGCACACACAAACTCCAAGGTTGCCAGATACAAGCAAATTTCGGGAGGCATTCACATTCTTAAGGCTATTCCCAGAAAGTAAGCAAGCGCCCTTCCAGAGGGCAGCGAAGACTATGCTGACATTTGAGAAGCCCCGCTGGGAAGATTCTACGACGACTTCTACCAGCAGCAATTGCCCGCCGTGAAACTCAGGAACGCGCGAGGCTGTGACCTGGTCATTCGAGGTTTTGCATTAGAACGTTGTTAAGATTGGCAATGTAGATAGTACAATGTTTTCTTCAGTCCAAGCCCGCTGACACCGACGCCTGCCCGTTCATCATCTTCATTTGTCTCACGCATACCTAGACATGTCGGGGCTAAAAAGACCCAAAGTGGCCTGCTCCATGTCCATGTCAAGGTTGAAGATTCCATTCGGACCAAGAGAACCAAACATGCTCTCGTCCAAATCAATGTTGCTGATCTTCATTGTGGAGGATCCATTCTCCGGTATTGTGGCCAAATCTCCAGACTGGAGGGCCCTTTGAACCGAACCCTCTCCGGCTATGATGGTTTCGAAGTTAAAGTCCGACATAGCCCAGTCTGGAAGGTTTGGGCCTTGTCCGTCTGTACCAAAACTCCAAGACGGGGAACCACCAAGCGCTTGCTTCCCCGCTTGCAAGCCGCTCAAAAGTCTGGTTTGCTGAAAGTCTGCTGGTATGCCATTCTCAGACTCGATGGCCTGGTCTGAATGCGGCGTCAGTTGCTGCATATCATCTCCTCTGACCTCTTGATTAAGAGAAACGCTATCCCGTCGTTGTGATGACTCGCGGTCCGTCCCTCCCTCCTTGAATGTGCGCTGGACGAGGGACGTCAGCTTCTGCACCCAGCGCATCATCTTTCCGGACACCCATATTCTGTGACAATAGGTATTGAGCGAGCGAGTCGCAGCTAGAACTGTGGCTCGATGACGTCTCTTCAAGCTGGGTTCTCGTGTGAAAAGTCCCATCATGATCATTGTTGAGCTCGTGAGATAATGGCTGAATGGGAAGCAGTACTTGAGAGTATCGTCTTGGATGCTTTCGTGTACGTTCAGTATTCTCGCCGCGAGACTGGCACAGACTGTAGCACACTCGACTTCATCGTCTTCGGCTCGATCAAAACGTCGTACGTGAGATGAAAACGGCCGTCGCATGAGCAAGCGGAGGAAATGTGTGCACTGTGTTTGTTTAGTCGTGATCGCAGAAGTGTGGGGATGGCCAACTCACTGTATACAGTAGCACAGTCTGTTTGACCTGCCATCGCAGCCTTGATGCAAATTGCACCTCATTCGGGATGTTGAGGTCATATGTCAAACATGGAGGCAATGTGTCGAGGAGATCAGTCAAGACTGTATCGGCATACTCCACCATCGGAGACGATGTCGAGTTTGCGGATTTGACACCGTAAAGTAGTTCCCAGGCCTTCCCTACGACTCTCGAGTATCGTACCATCGCCGCTATATACGGAATCGCCGTAATCGGCTCGCTGGCAAGCTCGAGTGCCACCTCTCTCTGCAGTTGTGAGATCTTCTCGGGCCTCGACTGGAAACGAGTCAGCCATGCGTCGCTGAGGTCTAGAGGCAGTGCTGTATCGACATTGCTGTCCTGGATTAGGTATGGCCGGCCGGATTCGATTGCCAGACGTCGATCTAGTACGTAAATAGACCACCACGATCTCGTATACATTTGACTGGCGACTGCAGGCATGTTTTCGAGGGTGCTCTGTCGGTGTAGACCAATGATGTGGGCATTGGATACTGCCAGGGCAAGAAGTCGGGTCGCCCGTTGCGTAGCGTCGAGACGGAAAAGGTAGATTACCTGGAGGAACCTATCAGCGCTGCGATTCACTTGCGAAATAACTGTTTTGACGTTTCCGCTGCTTACTCACCCGGATTAAGAGCATCTGTAGAGTTAAAAGTGACTTTGCGGCCGTGTTGCTCATTTCTGTTGAGTCTTGAAGAAGGCTCATACCAACACTGTATAAAGTCCAGCCAGCAGACTGCACACCATTCGCATCAGTGACCCGGCTTGATACGCTGCACCTTCCGAGAGCCAAACAAAAGCACACAAGAGCCACAGCCATCCGCTTCTGTTCTCGCTCTGCCGAGCTCGTGAGAGGCCATAGAGCGGAGTACTCCCACATCTCGTTGAAAGTCTCCCAGAGAGTAGGCGCGTGCAGTATCGGGTACAGGATGTGGATTTCCTCAAGGAAAATGTGCAAATATCGTCTCCAGGCCTCTTCATCAGCAACGACGCCGTGTTGGTCGAGAATGGCCTCCAACCAGGCACGAATTTTTCGCGGAGAACTGTCTAACGCAGGATTCGGAGACCTAGATGGATATTCTGCCATCATCCCGGATGAGTCCGCGGCCATTCTATCCATGTCGTCATCCATGCCTTGAAGGCCTGGGCTCATCGAGATCTCACCCGCGAACGTTTGGCCGTCTGGCTCCATCACATTTGACAGGTCAGTCGTAGAGGAGATCTGGTGATCCTCGCCTGCCGTCGAATGACCTTTCGCATGATGTGGTTGACTCTTGTACAGCATGGCATCGAAATTGGATGTCGGGATCATGTTTAGTCGATGCTCCACTTCGGCCAAGCGAGCGAGCAGTTCCATAGTGCTGGCGTTCCCCGCGGTGCTGCATGCTGGTCAGAATCTTCATGAAGCGCAATGTGGGAAAGGAGCGCATCGTTTACCTGCCACCTGCACGACGCACTGCATCGACCTCGCCTACACTGAAAGTGCGGCTTCGCTGTTCCATCGCTACATGTGAATTATGGCCTTTTGGCGCGGAGACACATGGCTGGTCCCGGGCGATACATTGAGCACACGGCTCGCCGCCATCGCACTTTGGAAGGAATCAGCAGCAGAACTCCTGGGATATGCGTACAACTCGTGTGACTAACCTTTACTTTTCGCTGTTGACAAGATGTGCTAGCATTGGGCAAGTGTCAGTGGCCTAACCGAAGACATGAGATAATCGGGAGAATGATCGTTATACCAAGCTCTTGAAATGTACTTCCCCCTCTTCATCTTCTTCGCTGGTTGCTCTGCAGAATCTGGACTTGCTCGATCATCTGCTCGCTTTTCCGCCGACTTCTTGTTGCTGTTCTTCGATGCGTCGGTCGAATGCGATAGCCGGCGTTCCGGCTTCTTAGAACCGTGGTCAACACGATCTGTGGTGGTCATGACCTCAATAGAAGATGCCTTGGCACTGTCTTGCTGCTTGTCGGAGTCCATGACGACGATGATGTCGCAGTCGATGTTGATGTGCAACTGGTATGTGGTCTCAGCAAACAGATTGCGTTGAGGTGAGTCTCCCCGCGTGGGGCATTCGGGGAGATCAATGGCGCCTACAATGCTGGCGAGTCATTCTTCAGTTTTGACCCATGGAAACCGAGCACACGCTGCAGGGATGTCGCTAGTCAATTAACGTAAAGTTCAAGCTACTGCTGATTCTGGCGATTCTGGCAGCGCCCGGTCTTGGCTTTAGCGCACAGCTGAAGGAAATCGCTTGTAGACGAGACCCTGGAGGTCTGGACACAGCACCCCTAACCTCTCCCCGCCTACCCCGGACCCCGCATGGCTCTAGCTGTCCGGGGTAGCGTATATCCTGGCGAATGACCCTGTTCGCGATGACCCCCTGATCAAGGAAGAGCAGCTGCGGAACTGATTACGGAATTTCCGTCCACCTGAATCATTCACGTGCAACGCCGCGCGTCTCATAGCTTGCCTTTTACGCTCCAGCCACCGAATAGTGGCATCACCAGCTCGGCTATAACCGCAGTCAATTGCTCAGGGCGCGACATCGGGATCTGATGATCACACGTGTGAGAAATGAATGACAGTATGGGCATAACGGACACAATACTCACTGCGTGATCGGCACCCGCCATGACCTGCGATGTACTGGGTGGCTTTATCAGTCGCGCGACATGTTCCTGTCTCTCGTGATTGCTATTTTGAAGTCAGCGAGCAGGGTTTCCTTTAGGTTGTATTGCAACGTACACGACCTCACTGTTTCCACCCCAGATGAAATGATTTCGGCCCTTGGACTTTTCGATAAGCTCAAGGATGACTGGATGCGGCGCTGCAATGTAGGAGGCCTGCGGTGGATGTATGTCAGTGGATTCCACAACGCATTGTCGTAAAGCTGGGAGAGCTTGAAGACACCTACAGCTTCCTGTTCTTTGGGGGTCGCAAGGTGCACGGGTGACGAGGGGTCGTTGGGATCTTCAGCATAGATTCCATGATCCTGGCCACAACAAGGTTAACTACTGAAAAATGACGATATGGGATTGAAGAGGGTCACTTACCAGGTAGACTTGCAATTGTCGCCTGTCCCAGCTTCGAAACCCTTTGCTCTTTTGAAAAGCTGCCGTGACATCCGCCCTTGGTGTTGTCGTTAGCTACTCCGGCCTTCGTGTTTCAGTATTTCGCCGTCTGCTCACTTTGATTTCCATGTGTCTCGACGCCGTAAGGCCATCTGAACAACCATCTTTGTCTCCGCTTCCATCGCGAAAAGAATCGGTTCCACTAGAATAGTGGCAAGAAAGGTCGTTGGCTCAAGCATTGCTGCGTGGCATCTAGAACGGCATTCAGTCCAGGAACAACATATCCAATTGCATGACGCTTACAGTCCTCCTCCTCCATATGAGTGGCCAATTCCAATGACAGGCTTTTGAGCCTGAACATATTCTATCGTGCTGAGAATGTCTCTAGACACATCGTGCCAACATGCTGCGCGTCAAATCAGCATGTCGTCCCACCTATTTTGCGTGAGCTTTGTAGCGCTGACCTTCGACTGGCAGCACGCCTCGATTCAGCATCGCGCTATCGCCATGGTTTGCTGCATCGATAGCGATAAACCTCTTGATGAATCGCTTGAGATCCGGCCGTTTCAGAAGGAGATTGATGATAAGCTCCCAGAAATATTTGTTGTAAGAATTGCCATGTGTGAGGACGAAGGTGGCGCCATCGGGGTTCGCATCGAGAACCGAGTAATCATGGACGGATAATCTCAAAGGCCCGGCGAGACTTTTGCGACTGGACAGCTCACCATCTTTTGGTACACTGGCTGGCACAACGAGGGTTCTCCTGACGTAGAGTTCGGTGCGGACTTCGGCCATTTTGATTGAGATGTGCGACAATCGTGCGGATTCTATAAAATCGAGAAGGATTGATATGCAAAGTGCCAATCTTCAGATTGAGCTTTGTAGTCATTTTAATTATCTTCCCAAGTGGCTGTTTTGCGTCTGTAGGGTCTTCGGCGCCAGCGGAACTGATGCCGAGGTCTCCTCTCCCGGCGGATCCACGATGGACCTCTCCGGCAAATACGGAATTCGGCACGATGCTTGCCGGACGGCGATCAATGGTAGTAGCACTCTTAAGAATGCAACATGTCCCCATTCATTTGACGAATTGTCTTAACGTGTGATGAAGAATTTAATTTATTTACTTCGGGGCAAAAACCTTATACGGTGCTAATCTGTTGATACGCCTCGGCCGCTTATTCAGCATATCTATCTCAGTCAAGAAGGTTTTCGTGATATATAGCAGATATAGATTAACAAGTCCCGGCACACGTCTTCTCCTCAGGTTGTTGCATTGTTCTTACAGTCTGGCTGCCGTAATTCTAAGCCTCAATTAGCACGGTACGGCTACGCCACGCACGTCGCTGGGGCCAACTTACTTTATATGCACTGACTTGGGTTCTAGGTAGCTGTACAGGCCGTGAGAGCCAAGTTCTCTGCCTTGTCCGCTCTGCTTTGAACCTCCAAACGGAGTGTTGAGCTCCGGGAGGTACGGAGAGTTCACAGACACTCCGCCGCTCTCGAGGGCCGAGGAAACACGCAAGGCTCGTGAGAGATCTGATGTGTAAAGACACGCTGTGGAAGAAGGGAAGAATATTAGTTCCACAAGCAATCAAATTCATCGGCGCTTCCTTACAGGCAAGTCCGTAGACTGTGTCGTTGGCTAGCTCGATGGCTTCCTCCTCGGTCTTGAACGTCTTAACTGTGAGGACGGGCCCGAAAATCTCCTCCTTCCAGATTGGGCTGTCCGAGGTTGGGTTGACGAACAACGTTGGCTCGATGAAGCATCCCTTAGATCCTTTCCTGTTACCACCAGTGATGAGCTCGGCAGATTGCTTGCCTTTCTCAATGTATCCCATGATTCGGTCGAACTGTGATTTATCGACTATCGGGCCGTGCTGCGTCGAAAGTTCTAGAGGACTGCTGCCCATACCGTCTCGGGCCTGCTCAAAGACCTCTTTGATGGCCTGAATGAACTTGGGTGCAATAGATTCCTGAATCAACACGCGAGAGGCCGCTGCACACTGGTGAGAATTTTCGCCATCGACGCCAGACGCCAGTCTCATCTGTTGGACTTACCAACACAAATCTGCCCCGAGTTGGCGAGGAAGCCGCCGCCGACGCTAGGGTGCCAAATTAGATATTGTTCAACAAAGTTCAAGGTAAGAAAGGCGTACCAGCCCACGCAGAGATCGAAGTCCGCATCGTCAAACACCACAGCTGCTGATTTGCCGCCAAGCTCCAGAGTGACTTTCTTGAGGTTGCTATTCGTCGCAGCTTCTTGGACAGCTTTTCCAGCGGCAATGGAGCCAGTGAAGCTGATCTTTGCTATTTTTTGGTGTGAGGACAGCAAAGCTCCAGTCTCTCTGGCGCCCGTCAAGAATTGCACGACGCCAGGCGGGAATCCAGCCTCTGCGAAGAGCGGCGCCATAGCGAGAATTCCCAGCGGGGATTTCTCGGAGGGCTTGAATATGACCTGATGGTAATGAGTAACGAAGCGTGCCACGAAACAGGACAGCTTTGGCAACGAACCGTGTTTCCTGCCGCTAGAGCTGGCGCAAGCTTCCAGCCGACGTAGAGGAAAGTCGCATTGTAGGACGCCAGGCTCGCGCACACGCCCAGAGGTTCGTATCTTACGATCTTGGCAAAGCCGTTGTCTTCTGAGAACGATTGTCCAGCAATCTTATCTGCCCATCCAGCGTAATCTGATCCTGTCAGAAAGGTATTTCACAGCTCCGTTTTCACTGATGACCTTACATCGGAAAACTTGGGCCATGTGAGCCAAATCCATGTGAATAATGCCTGCAATGGGACGTCCAGTGGGAAGGGACTCGCAGTAGGCAAGATGGTCGACATTCTTCTCGACGATATCAGCGAATTTGTTGAGACACGCGGCGCGCTGAACACCAGTAAACGAAGCCCATGGTCCCTTTCGGAATGCCTCGTTCGCAAGCGCGACGGCTCGGTTAACATCTTCTTTTCCGGCCAATTGAAGGTCATCCACGACGACCGAGTCGTCAACTGGGTTCAGCAACGTCAACTTTTCGCCATTGCTGTGTTGGGAGTCTACAAACTGATTGTCGATCTCAAATTAGTAGCGTCTCTCAATCCCGCAACACCACCAAAGTCCGGCCGCGGCATACCTCATTTCCGATAAAGAGCTTGCGGGGAGGAAGAGAAGCCATATTGATAACTTTTTCGATAAGTGTGCAGCGAATCCAAGCGATTCGTTTTGTGAGTGCAATCTCGCAGAGGCGCATTGGAAAAATGGCGGCGATGCGATGGGGCCACGTCATGATATCCCATTCTCGCCGGCCCGATCTCTCGACAAGTTCCGGGCAACGCGCGGAATGTCAGTATAAGGTTCCGTGACCTTCCGCACCCCCACCACCCGCCAAGGGTGTCCAGGGACTTTTCGCGGCAATTATCCTCCTCCCGCGACCCAGTCGCTCCAAGGTACGCCAGAGATATTAATAAGCTGTTGGAACACTCAGGATGCAGAGTCGTGGGGAACACCAGAGCCATCAAGTACTGAAACAACAGACAAACGACAATGGCGGCTCCACTTGTAACGGAAATGGTCCAGAACCCCTTGGGAGTCTCTTACCCAGAGTTTCTCCGCGTCTTCACCGAGAAGATGGAACCAATCCTTCTGGCTCAGCCAGGTCTCATTTCGCTGATCACTGGACTTGTCGTCAACCCTGCTGCCGACGATCAGCATCCGCCGACTGCCGTCTCGCTGGCCCAATGGACGAGCCTCGAGGCTCACGAGGCGTTTCTCCGAAGTCCATCTGCCGGCCCGTTCTTTGAGGCTGCCCAATCGCTACTCAGGGGGCCACCCACGATCCATCATTATCAACTCGGATCGCTTTCGAGCAGCAACCTGAAGAGTCGCCACAGCAGAATCGAAAAGACAAGCGAACCCCATAATTATGACCTACAACCACTGTATGAAGCTCAGGTGAACGCACGTGGACAAGACACTGCAAAGATTGGGGCATGTATTGAGTTCCCTCGGCAAAAGGCATACATATCTTTCGGGGAAGGTGAGGAGTCTTGCATCGGTGGGCCATCCGTTGCTGGGGTTGATGCATTTACAGTTGCGTGGGATAGATATGGCGTCAAGGCACTAGGATCGAACCTTTAATGATACATGCAGGACACGCCATGAGAATAACAACAATTTTGCTACAAAATGTATCCTTGAAGCACACGTTTGAACTACACTAGAGCAATCATGTTGGCCGGACTCGCCACTCCTCCATGCACGTTGAGGGGGCACGACGACAGGAAGAATGTCCAGCGTTTGTTCTCACGGCACCAAGCGGCCAGGTCCTCCAGATAAAGCAACTCGGCAATCGGGCAGCCCCAGCCGGAAATCAGGACTTCGTGGAACATGAACCCTGCCTCCTCCGCTACTGGGAACGCTTCCCACCCAGGGGCGTCTCCTCCGACACCGGCGAACTTGCTGTCCCACAGCCACTGCAGCAGACGGCGGTCCTGCTGCAGACCACAAGAGGCTGGAGGCCACGCCTCGCCCACGTTCTTCTCCTCCTCTGCACTCAGGTTGACGTACCGCGCTGTAAAGCCGCTGCGGATAATCAGAATGTCGCCGGGTTGTGGCTCCAGGCCGCTTGGCGACTGTCCGCGCTGCCATTCGAGACAAGCGACTATGTCATCGTACTTTATGGCATGCGGAGTCGACGGGTCATATCTCTGACCGAGCTCCTCTGCATAGGCCCAGTAGTCAGTCAAGAAACCACGAGTGGTGATACCTCCCTTTGTGTGCCAGTTGTGGATTCCCAGGGATCCTTCCTGACTCTGGAGCATGTCATCCTTGGTGATGCCATTGTAGAATAGACCCTCCTTTTGGTAGGCGAAGTGTCGCAGGCCGTCCCATTGTGTGCTCTTTTGCGTGTTGAAGTTGAGCTAGGGATCTTGTTAGATTCGTGTTCAGACGACTCGCGACTTCGGTCCTCAGCTGACAGTATCATCAAGTACGTTACCAGGCCCTACGATCGAATGTTCGTATGCGAACTCATGCCTTCGAAAGCCTGGCGTCTTTGGTTCACTAAGTGACCAGCTAAGGAGGAAGAGAATCAGCATGGTCCGTTATTTGCATGTGCTGCATCCTGGGTTCACCATACTTGAGACTGAAGCGTAGACCCTCCTTGATCTCCAAGCCAGCGTTCTTGACGACAGAAGGCGTGATCAGGTTCTGGACATTTCATCAGCACCAGAATCAACCTCATTCATCCCAAGTTACGCACCAGGGTACCGAGCTGGTCGTCAGGCCCCCAGTAGCCCCATGCCGAATAGGAGGGATCCCCCTTTCGAAGCGGCAGCTCCGAAAAAGCCGGACGCCGGGCTGTAGTGTTCTCTGTTTGTGTCATATTCTCGAATGATTACTGAAATGAGATGATCTGATTTGGCGCGAACTATCGCCGGAGCTTTTGAGTGATATAGAATGCAGTAAGCGGAAATCCCGCCGACAGTTCGGGGTCCCGTTCGGTGGCTCGGAGTAAACGCGAACCCCAAAACGGCATGGAACGGGGTTCCGAACGGGGCTCCGGAGCGATCGACGGTATGATCGATTATATTGAACAGCGACCGTACGGTTCTCGTTTTGGATCTTGTCGTATTCTTTTGACGCGCCTGAATTTGATGTTGTTGTCGAATCGGCAAGTTATTCTACACTGTTGAACAGTGACAGATCTTGAACATTGAACGGAATTTCCGCCGCGGCAGCAAACCCCTGGCAGACGTCTTCATCGCCAGCTTTTGGAGAATAGGAGTAGATAGCCATGGATGTCGACTCCAATATCGACCCCGCATCGTCACGGCGCTCGACTACCAGGACGCGCCGCAAGGCCAGGAGACGGCCGCCACCTTCGAGGCCCCGTACTGCCCCTGCTTGCAGTTTCTGTTCCCAGCGAAGAACAAGGTGCATACAGGGAGAGCCGGGAGGACCATGTCTGAGCTGTCAGCATTTTGAGCAGAAATGTGTTATCCCAAAACACTTGACATCATCGTGAGTTCTCCCTGTAGGGTGCGCTGCCTAAGGATCATGGGAGTTGATATTCTGCGTCAGACGTAGATCAAAAGGCAGTCTTCAGCCTTTTGTGTCGGAGATGATATTCTCACCATTGCCGTCCTCACCAATAACGTGCTCCGGCTCACCGGGCTTCCCATATTCAACGAATTCCGAGGGCTCCCCGTCATATTCGGCAAACTCCCCTCAAGCAGACAACACGCCTTCATCTGTCACATCTTTCAGAGAGGATAGTGGTTCGCCGTCAAGTGTATGTAGTTCAAGCGCGTCCTGCTATGACGAACTCAAGTCGATCAGGGGGCATTGGGACTTCATGCAATCCCCTACAGCTCCCAGAGGCAAAGATGCAGCCAAGGGCCGCGTGGTCGACGAGGCGCTACAAAAAGCGCAAGCGCTGTTATCTCAAGTGGAAATTCTTGCCCGTACTCTCAATGGGTTAGTTGGCTATGCAAAGCCTGACGAGGGGCTTCGTTGTCCGAGTCCAGGTTCAGTCATTGCCGTCGAGGATGACAGGATAGAGTGTGATGATGAAGGCGTTTCGTTTTGGCTAGATGCGTGGGATGAAATTGCAAATCTCAACATAGCGTAATACTCCTATACAATAATTAAGATCATGCTACGATACACTCATTGTGTCTTTCGCGGTTACACTGCCAGTAAGACACATTCCATTCTCTTCTCGCACACGAACCAACCACAGACCCAACAAAGTCCCCTCTCCCACAATCGACTCGAGATCAGCAGCTTAGGAACTAGCCGCGATCCTTCCCGAATACCAATGCAGGATCACGCTGCTGTGGGGCGCATCGATGAAGATGGCCGCGGGGTGCGATAGCGCGGGGTAATTGGGGTTGAAGGTGGTGAGGGGCCGCCAGCCGGAACGGCGTCGGAAATCGGAAGCATTAGCTCTATACATTCCGGCTCGCGCGGCATTTCGCACTTGAATGAAACACGACGTTGAAGGTAACATCGGTGGACGACGGGCGGATGATTCGGATGGGTGGTTCCATTCTCTGGAAATCGTTCGCACGACACCGTTGCGTGGCCTGATGCGTGTGCGCTCCCAGGCGTATTTGTAGACCTTATGGTGGAGGTCAGACCTGAATGCTGGATTAGTGTCCGCTTGAGTTCACGTCACCATCTGCCTCACGATTACAACATTCGCATTTACTCCTTCCCACATTTGACATCATGGCCGCGAAGTGCCAGCTTGACGTGATCATTGTCGGTGCGGGGATAGGCGGCCTCGGCACCGCCTTGGCGCTCCGAGAAGTCGGGCACAAGGTGACTGTGCTCGAGCAGGCTGCAGACTTTGTCGAGGTGAGCTGCTACCGTCGCCGGATGATACCGGGTGTTATTTCCAGAGGCTGACTTTTTCATGTGTAGATTGGAGCTGGAGTTCAAGTACCGCCAAATGCTTCACGGGAGTTGATCCGGTGGGGCATCGGGGACCAGATGGACGCCGTGTCGTCCAGGCCATCTCGCATCAACTATCGTTCTTGGCAAACAGCAGAGGCGCAGGGCTTTACCGATCTGTCGAGGCATCCCGAGGTTTATGGGGCTCCGTATTGGCAAATTTACCGGCCAGATTATCACTCCATCCTAGTTGAGGCTGCCGCGAAAGCTGGCGCTGTCATCCGCAAGGGTCAGACGGTGGTTGACTACAAGCCCGAGGAGGCCACAGTCGTCCTTGAGTCTGGAGAGACGCTTCGTGGCGATCTGGTTATCGCTGCCGATGGAGTCAAGAGCTTGGCCAGGAAGGTGATGGGGCTGAACATCGAGCCTCAAGAGACGGGCGACACGTGCTTCCGCGTTGTGGTGCCGAGAGAGAGGTTGACCAGTGATCCGGAGCTGGCGTCGCTCAGCACCGACCCCAACTTTGAGCAGTTCCTCGGTCCCGACCATCACATTATCGGGTGAGTTTTTTGAATGCTGTCTTCAGTGTCAATCGCTTATATGTTACACAGATACAACATGCAGAAGGAGAAGACGTTCAATCTACTGATGGTCATCCCTGACGACCGCAAGATGAAGGGATACAAGGCCCCTGCAACTGCTTCCGAGGTCAGAGAGGCCTACAAAGGATGGTCTCCTATGTAAGTAAAGCGTCGAACCCCATGTCATGCGCACTTTCAGCTGACCAGGACACAGGGTGGAGAAACTCCTTTCGTTCCTGCCCGAAGAGGTCGAGAAGTGGCGCCTGACTGATCTCCCTACCATCACGGACTGGGTGCATCCCTCAGGGAAAATGGTTCTCATCGGCGACGCATCCCACGCCACGCTTCCGTATCTTGCGCAAGGCGCGGCAATGGCGATTGAAGATGCCGTCGTGCTCGGATCCGCGCTGTCTCACGTTAGCGCCAAGGAGGACATTCACCGGCTGTTGCTCTTCTTCTACAAGACAAGAGTCGGTCGTGCACATGCGATTCAAAGGGGCAGCTTCACCAACAGGTTTTTCATCCACATGAGGGAGGAGGAGATCCTCAAAATGAGGCTTGGCGTGTTCAAGGCTGGCGACTATCCCAGCAGCCCGAATCTGATGGGCAACACGGTGTTTCAGGACTGGCTGTACGGCTATGATGCCAAGGCAGACGCCAGCTTGCAATGGGAGAAGGAGGTGCGAGCAAGTGGGTCGCGGCTGTAATCATACTCTTTCAGTAACAATAGGTTCTGAAGCGAGGCAAAGTTAGATGAATATACTTGTAACAGCTCTTCCCAAAAGCCGGTTCATATTCCACTTCCTTCCCAATTGCTGAGACGCTAAGAGCCCGTCTTGCTCTGCTTCTTACCTCCTCATCAATCCACACTCTAGACTCACCAACACCAATTTTTCTATTGAATACCAGTCATGGATTATCTCTCCGACTTCAGCTCAAGCGACTCAAACGACTCAAAACTCAACTATAGAGGAGCATTCGAAGTACCCAGAAACTCGAAGAAAAAAGTGATCCCCTTTCCGACACGTTCTCAACAGACATTTTGGATGCAAAACGTGGCCGCTCTTCCCGGTTTCGACTTCAAGAAGCCAAGGAGGATATTCCACATACCTAAGCAGATTCAAGATGGACTGGGCGGCTGGGTCGAGGACACTTCGGATTTACAGGGATGCCGGGAACGGTTTGTCGACTCTCTGACCGGTGTTTTCGCCGCAGCTGCCGACTTCCTTTCAGTCCAAGATGATGCGGCCGGACACCAGATTTCCATATTTGAGGCAGCGCCATCGATCGCGGAGCGAGCCAGGAATACAGCCCGCCTCCTTCGCTTGCTAGAGGGCGATGACCCAGAAGACGCTCGGGATCACACGCCGTGTGAGGTCGAGGCAGTGATGCACTTCGGAGTACTACGACAGAGCTATCTTGATCAAGGTTCACGGCAGCCAGACTCCAAACAAGTACTTTTGCAGGCACAATATGGTTGCCGCAGACCTCTTGAACTTCTTTACAAGTCGATCGAGACGTACAACCAGGTCAAAATCATTTGCCAAAGTAAGTTTCACATGAAAAGCCTACATGCCGAATCGATCCCTGCTAATGAGGAAAGGTCAAACTCGCGAGCTCTTCAAAGCTCATCGTCTGGGATTCGAGCGCAGAACGAGCTTCGATACGAATACTTTGGAGCCAATGTTCCACATCCGAGCCAATTCGAAACTGCAAGAGATGGAGTTGAAGGAGTCCAAGACGCAGTTAAAGGAGTCGGAGAGAGAGTTGGAGATGTCCAAGACAGAGTTGGAGAGGACCAAGATCCAAGTTGCCAATCTCGAGGGACAAATACGAAGACTCAACGCGAAGCATGACGGTGTCAACAGAGACCGCGAAACTTTGAAAAGGCAGCTAGCAGTGTCTGATGATCGAGTTGAGAGGCTGCGTAAAAAGGTACGTGGAGCCCTGGATGATCATAACCTATGAAGCCACACAGCTCTGGTGTGATCATACAAAGAAACGTGGACATGACAGCGGATGCACGCAAGGCCTTTGCCACGTTATTGGATCGATCGGCGAAGTGGATGCCATATAGCTATCAGAAGGATACATATCATAGTTACGACCCCACAAAGGTTATTTGTCGGTAGCTGACAGAAATCCCATTGGATCACAGGCGCAAGCCGATTGGAATACAACGTACTGTGACACTATTCAGCTGAGAATCCCTTTCTGGCAAGTATTCAGAGTATTCAAAAGACAAATGGCAGGTATTGGGACCATGAGCAACCAGAGAGGAAATTGTCCACGTCACAGACTGTGCCCTCCGCAAGTAGCGTGCAGTTGTCGAAGTACCGCCTCCGCCCTGCCATGTCAAGCGGAGACAACGCGGGCAAAGCATGCTACCTTGCAATCGTCAGCGTGATAAGTCCGCATGGCCCTTTATAGCCATGGGTGACTGCCCCAAGATCCATCACGCCCCAGCACCACACTCTTTTCAAGTCTCACACAGGATTCAAACCCGAGACGAATAGCTTCAGATGTATTCCTGGTGACCAGCATAGGGGCCTTGATTGGCGCCAAGGTCCTCATTTCGCTAGCTGGCGGCAACAGGACACCGCATATACTTCGTGACAGCAGCATATTTCGTCAGGTCACCGGGTGGCCTACTTTCAGCGTACATCGTCCGGATGAGATGATGGGCAAACATGATCGTGAGTCGAGACGCTCCCATGCTTGACGGCACAGAGGATGCTCGTCCTCGGCTCATTGAAGGCGCCGCCATGCTGCCTGCTTCTTCGCGGACGGGAACTCCGCCCTTCGGTATGTCGCCTGAGCTGGTGGCGAGCTAGTCGGGGATGCCGCCCGCGTGAGCAAGTTGCTGGGTTGTAGAGCGAGGCAGAGGTAATGACCTGGAAGTAGTCGTAGTAGATCGTCAGGTCATGATGGGGATCGGTCGAGTTTCTAGCAGACGGCAGGCCATTTCTTTGAGATCGGCTGCCGTGGGTTTGAAAAAGGTTGGCGAGCGCGCATCAGGTTCGACGATGGTAAAAGCAGGGGTCGTTGCCGTGTACGTTTTGGCGTCACTGTTGAAAGGCCAGTGGACTGCCAGATTAGCATGGAGTCTCAGGAACCAACGCCATTACTGAACGGGATATCGACGCCGTCTGTGGCAGTCCAGCCAGTACTCGAGAAACACGGCCTCAACTGTGGTCCCATGGTTAGCCATGCGAGAAGCCTGGAGAGTGTGCTGTTCACAACTCTTCGTCTTGCACCAGTCGAATCTTCCGTGGCCCGAACTGAAGCATCACAGCTGCCCGCATTCAAGGCTTTCGTTTCTGGCTGCCTTGCCTGCACCGTTAGTGGGCGCTGCAGTCGCCGGCAGGACCCTGGATGCCCATATGCAAGACTGAAGAACTCTCCTGTGCTTCCCTCGTCCATGGCTAATACGGCATCCAGTTGAGGCCGGAAGGTCATTGAAAGCGAGGAGGTATTCAGTAGACATGCCTTCTGGCCATCGCGACGCGAACGAGACAAAGCCACCCCCGGCCTGCACGAGAACGTCGTGCAAGCCATCAGACAGGTCCCTCTCGCTGGGCCCGCCAGGGTCAAACAGCATGTCCAGAGGTATGAGCATGCGCAGCGGCGGAGCACGAGAGTCTCGGGGGTATTTGGCCAAGACTGCGCAAGCGAAACAGGTAGGTTGCCACATTCCCTAGCGGGCCGGCTTCTGACTTTGTCCCCCCCCCCGTTCCGACTTGACAGTCTCGTTCGGACGGCATTCGCATGGCGGGCAGCGCGCCAAGTAGGGCGCAACGCGACGGCCGAGAAGCTTGGCCGCGGGAGACAGTGTGGGCGCTCATGAGTTTGCTTCGGCTTTCGAGGGGGTGGCTTGTCGGATGTGGTTGAGTTGAGACATGTTGCTGGGGGGTTGGGCTCACATCGTCCTTGGATGGTGGTGGGGAGGCCGCCGTGTTTGTGCCCATCAGGACGGTTGGAATGGGGTGGAATGATTGTACAGCATGATGAGGCCGCGGCGATAGGCTGCTCAGCAGAGTTCGCGTGGTCGTGCGAGCTGCGATGGGCATCAATGGTCATTATGCGCTGGACAATAGGCAGGCCCGTCGGCTTCATGACTGGAGATTGTTGTTGGCGGGGGCGAGAGACGCTTGGAGACAAGGCGCGCCGTGGCGGGCACTGTGACGGGCCGAGGGAAATGGGGAGCGTGCAGGGCACGCAGGCTGCTGCCTCCCTGAAGAGCGCTGCGGCGGGGCCTGCTGAAGAGGACGGATCGCGGTGCCGTCGCCACCATCACGTTTCCTCCCATCTTTGTCTGGGCATTGCTGTGCAGCTAGAGTCTGCGTTTGTACAAGTTGCGTGTCATATTGATGCTGAAAAGAGGCTGCGACACGTGCGCGATGCCTAGCGCTGCCTCTTGCAGTGGAGTGGCATAGAAGCGCTGGTTCCCCGATTGAAGGCAGGATACGTATCTCTCTGCTCCGCCGCAGCGCTGTTCTGTGGGAATAGCTTCACGTCAGGGGCATCCGTCAAAGCTGGGGGCGGCCACTGTACACGGCTGACTACCTGAAGGCTGCACCAGGAGAGGACGCAAGGGAGAGAGATCCCAGCTGAGCCCCACGTGACAGAACAAGCATTGCTGTCAGGTTCCTCCCTTATCTGGTGGTCCCTGTCGACGGCCACATCGCGGGGTCGTGTTGCCGTTCCCCTTGCATGCTCTGGGCCCCGGGGCCAGACTCGTCATGTCTCCTAATAAGAAAGCTCGTATACGGCTCGTCGTCGTGCATCCATCCATCCAGTTTGGCATGGTCCTCTGCCTGCGACACATGGGGTCGGTCGACAGGAAATTGCTCATGGAAGCGAAATCTGCCGTGTGGCTGCATGAACCGCGCAACGCCACAGACCAAAAACGCGCGCGCCCATGCCGTGCGGCTGCCCAGGGCGGGTCAAGATCGACGAAACGCATGAGGCGAGGGGCCAGCTCGTCGTCGTCGTCGTCGTCGGGGGTCCGGCACGTTCCATGAGCAAAAGAACGGCGCAGTCGAATCGAAATTCGGTGCGTGGCGCGGGTCGCAACGAAGAGTAGGCAGCAGCATTTCGGGGACGGTCGCAACGATCTGTTCCTCGTGCAGGCGCTGGGATGCACGATGCGACAGTGATCGAGGACAAGAGAGACAAAATGGGAGAAATGGACGGGGTCAAAGCGACGCAAACACTCCCTTTCGGTTCACCCGATGGCCAGACTGCTGCCGATGGCCAGACGGCATGACGAGCAAGACACTGGACGAGAGAGGCCAGAGGAGAGAACCGGGAGACCATCAGCAATTCCCTACTTCTCTTGGCAGGGAGACCACGGCATCGTGTTCTGCGACGGCGATAAGGCGCGTAGAATTGGCCCAACAATGGCTCCACCCTGTACGAGATTTTCTTCTCGGTCCCCCAACTCTAACTCGTTTCGTCCTACGGTAAAGTTTGCCCTTTTTTCTTCGCGTTGCAGGCGCCCATGATTTCGCTCTTCCACCCCCCTTTTGTGTTTTCCGTGGCATTCGTTGGTTGCGGTGCGCTGACTTGGTGCGATTCCCATCGCTCTGTTGCTCCCCGCCAGCATTGGCCATCCTCGCCTTGCGCTGCGCTGACCAGCCTCACGATCCCGATGACACCCGCCCGCCACGATATCCCCACTCGCCGGGGGAGGGGGGGGGGGGGGGGCTAGCCACGGAGTTCGGCCCCTTTGGCCCCCCTCCCCCCTGATCGAGTGAAGCTGGACGTGTCGAAGGGTCGAAAAGGGGAGGGGACGGGGGGGGAGGGCGGCCCAGGACGCCAGCCCGAAAGCTTAGCACACCAGATTCAACGTGACATATGCGGGCCATTTCCATCTTCCTGGCGCTGGCGTCTCGCCGATTGGCCCGGTGACCCATGCTCCCGCCAACAGACCCCTAGCCGTAGATCGTATTTCCAGCTGCAAAAAAAATGCTGTTATCGGGCTAGCGCTCAACATCGGGAGGGGCAAAAGGGGGGCCCTGTTGTGGTGGTCTCTGGGAACGGTTGAACGGGTGCTCCCCTTTCCAGCGTGCGTGGAATGCTTCGACCCCTATATCGTTAGCCTCGTCTAGCCTGTGCCCTGTCTGGCCTCGTCGTCGACCTATTTCTGGATGCAGCTGGGCGCCGGCCAAGAGCTGGCCGCCTGGACGTGGACGCAGGTTGTGTGTGTGTGTGTGTGTGTGTGTTGTGTTGCTCCCTGTCTGGCCTTCTCGATCATTGGCCTCGTTCTCTCTTTTTTTGAGTTGGGCTAGCTCGTGTACATGGTACTTGCCCTACCTCCTACCTGCCTTCCCTACCCAAGGTACCGTACCTACCCAAGGTACCGTACCTTGGAGACCACCTTAGGGAGGTACCTATCTAGGGTACCTACCTTACCTTACTTACCTAGTATAGTAGTAGCATGGCGTCCGCCTCTCACGGTCCTCGACGTTTGTGGCTTCACTTTTATTTTTTTCCCACCCTCTCTCTCCGTCTCTCTCTCTCTCTCTCACTGCGATCTGTTTCCCTGTTTGATCGTACCCCAACCCATCGTACCGCCGTTGTATCTGGCCTTCTTCGACCCTCTGCCGCTGCGAATAATCTCCCCCCCTCCCCCACTGCTCGCCATCACCGCCCATCATGGGCCTCGCCTCCCCGGCCTCCATGTACCACCAGATGCGTGTGCGCGGCCTGCAAAGGCCCGCCACCATCTCCGTCGTCTTCGGCGCCGTCCTCGCCTTCGTCTACGTCCTGTTGCAGTCCTCGGCGCCCTGGAACCTGACCTCGTCACATACACGGTATGGCGAGCCCGCCCTCGTTTTTGTCACCCGCGTTTTTGTCACCCGCGTTTTTGTCACCCGCGTTTTTGTCACCCGCGTTCTTGTCACCCGTGCCTTCTTCTGACAGCGCGCTTCAGGTTAGGGAAGGAGTACAAGATCCCCGTCCGCCAGATCGAGGGCCTCGCCGACGCCATCGCCGACATGTGGCGCCCGCTCGTCCTCGACATCAACGCCGACAACTTCACGGCCTGGCTCTGGGGCGACAACGGCACGCCGTACGTCATGCCCGCCAAGACGAAGCGCCACTGGACGACGCCCCTCGGCAAGGACGTGCTCATCCTCGACGTCGACACGCGCCCGCTCGAGCAGATGCGTTCCAAGGGCCGCGTCCAGAGCGACTATCGCGCCCTGTTCGAGGACGACCAGCTGACGCCGCGCTTTGCCGGCATGCTGAACCACTACATCTATGGTATGTTGCAGGAGAGAGAGAGAGAGAGAGAGAGAGAGCACGCCGAGATTTTCTCTCAGGCTCCTGTACTTCCGACTGCGACCCGAGCTGACCCTTCCTTCCCTTGCAGCCCAGATCCATGGCTACGACTACAAGTTCATCCACGCCTCGGAGCTGTCCGACCGCCACCAGACGTGGGTCAAGGTGCCGGCCATCAAGGAGGCCCTGCTCAAGTACAAGTTTGTCGTCTTCGCCGACGCCGACGCCCTCTTCAACCAGCCCGACGTGCCCCTCGAGTGGATGCTCAACTACTGGAACGTCCACCCCAAGACCCTCGTCGCCATGGCCGAGGACCCCAACTCGCCGACGAACCAGGACCCCAAGGGCTGGGTGCTCTGGAACACGGGCTTCGTCGTCGCCCAGCAGGGCGAGCGCACGCAGGAGCTCTTCCGCCAGTGGGACGACTGCCCCTCGGGCCGCCAGTTCCCCGACTGCAAGCGCTGGGCCCACGACTGGGCCCACGAGCAGGCCGCCTTCGGCCACCACCTGCGCTACGCCTGGAACAAGACGGACGACCTGCGCGCCATCCCCTGCATGGACGCCAACGGCGCCCACCACTGCGGCGACCGCAAGTGCCTCGGCATCTACGTCTCGCACCACTGGGGCAAGAAGGAGGAGCCCATCCAGGACCTCTGGCGCCTCGTCACGCGCGCCGTCACGCGCTACGCGCGGCAGGGCCGCCCCGATCTCATCTTCAAGGCCTTCATCAACCCCATCCGCCCGCCGCCCAACTGGGCCTTTTACGATGAGATGCTGCGATTCGACGAGGCGTAGGTTGACTGCCTCCTTCCTGCACGGGCGCTCGGCACGGGGTATAGTGCGGATTGCTTTTGGGTTTTGCGGATTTTTAGACGGCAGCGTGTTTTTACGACTTTTCCTCTTTTCAGGCATCATGCTCTCCCGGGCATGCTGGGTGGATGGGACTACTTGTCCCACCCCCTATTTTTTATACAACCACAACAACAACCACAACCAACATCACAAGCCTTGTAATTGTCCGATTTAGCCTGCTTTTTCACCACGAAACTTGGGATACCGCTCGTTTTCCTAACGCCTGTACTACTACACGACGGCATCGAGGAAAGGTCTGCTTTCCGAAAAAGACATGGGCGGGAGCTTGTACCTTGACGGGCTCAAAATGTCTTTCGATGCGAAGAAAATGCTTCGACTCTTGCGTTGCCAGCGAAATCACTTGGAAATAGAGGTCTCGCCTTCAAAGAAGAAAAAATTAGACCCGTTATCGGCCTGACGGCCAAACCTGCGCGAGATTCACAGCGCTCTCCGATATCATGCTTCCCATCACCAACGATGCGATACTCGAGTCAGAACCAGCACCCTATCACACGTTCCAATCACCCGGCGTCTCCCTTGTGTTGACAAACATATGTCCCCAGCTCAACTTATTGGTTCGGGGCGAGCAATTCGTCAGCACCATGCCTCACGAGAGTGCTGTTCTTTGCTATTGGGCACCAACCCAATCGACTGAAACAAATAATGCACACGTTGCAACATCTTTCGCATAAGGTTTATCGCACAAGGTATATTGCACAAGGTTTAGCTACTGGGTCCTCATTCCCATGGTGCCCGAGTCAGCATTCCCAATGCTACGCCCCAATCATGAGCCGCGAGCAGGCGACGCGCCAGTCTTCAGCGGCCCCCGTCAGACTCGGCAGTCCTTGGCATGGGGGCGGGCATTGTGGTGCCACATGCCGCCAGGGCTGTGCATACCACTCGGATCGAGGAATGCTGGCAATACAGGACACAAACACATCCTGGCAATCGAATGCCGCGAAGGAGGGAAAAACGCAGCGGCGTCTTACGCCCTGCAGTTCCTGTCTCTATCAAGCAGTGCGCCAATCTAGCAGCGCCTTGCACGCGGCAACAAAACGCCCGCCCGCGATATATACCGAACTAGGTCGTTGAGCCCAAAATATAACCATCTTAATGCCATCTTGTCCTCGAGTCATTTCGTCATCGTACCTCATCGTCATTTGCCTGCTCGCTCACGTCCACAGCCATACCCACAGCCCCTACGACAGCCCAATACTGGCACTCATCGCAGGGTCCCAGGCCCCCCAGACCGCCAGCCCGACCTCGCCCCGCGCCCACGCCATCCCCTCCTGTGCCGCCGGCAAAAAGGCCAGCTCCGTCTCGGGCAGCGCCTCGGACAGCTCGGCCACGAGACACGCCCCGACGCCGGCGGCCCACCAGCACCGCAGCCCCATCCTGTGCAGCAGCACGCCCCAGTGCATGACGACCAGCAGCGCCATGGGCTCGCCGCCGCCGACGGCCGCCGCGAACCCGGGCCCGGCGAGGCTCGGAAACGAGGCGCAGTACCCCGGCAGCAGCCCCGTCGCGTCCTCGGCGAAGCACGCGCCCAGATGAAACACGGCGCGCCGGTACATCTCGTGCCGGGAGAGCGGCGGCTGCTGCTGCTCGGCGTGGAGGAGCTCGGCGTGGAGGAGGGCCGCACGTGCGGGCTTCTGGCTGTCGGGGTAGTAGGCGGCAGGCTCGTGCAGGGCGTCGTTGACGGCGTAGAGGCGGGCGAGGGGCGCGCGCGTCGCGGCGTCGCAGGCGTCGATGCTCGCGGGCAGGCGGAGGAGGCTCTGCAGGGCGGTGGCGGGGCTCGCGGCGAGCAGGGCGTCGAGGCCCGCGGCGGCGGTGGCGCCGCCGCCGCCGCCGCCGGACGTGGCGGCCTGCGACCAGAGGGCGAAGATGGAGGCCACGCGGCTCCTGGCCGTGCCGCCGGCGCGCGTCGTGCTGAAGACGGCGAGGTGGTAGGCGGCGTGGGCGGCGATGGCGACGTGCGTGAGCCAGTCTCGGTCGTGGTGCGCTGTGCGCGCGCCGACGTGGCGGTGGAGGGCCGACGTGGCGGTGTCGTGGTAGGCGAGGGCGCTGCGGACGTACGAGGCGGCGTCGGCCTCGGTCTGGGCGACGTTGACGGCGAGGTCGAGGGACGTCAGGGCGAACATGATGCGCAGGATGAAATCATGGCGGAGCCCCTCGCGCGGCATGACGTTCTGCATGAGGGGGTACTCTTCGGGGTGGCATGTCATGATGAGGTAGGTGTGCGTCGACCAGCGGTGCATGAGCTCGAGCTCGAGCAGCCGGCGTGGTTCCGGCGAGGGCTGGAGCTCGGGCGACGACGAGAAGGACGTTTCGCACGGCGAGGGCATCCGCGAGGCCTGGGGTGGTGAGAGAGACGACGACCCGCTGCTCAGACTGGTTTCGGACGGCAGACCGACGGCCAGACATGACGACGGGTCGAGATGTGCGGGCGCGTCGAGCTGGGCCGAGGAGGCGGTCGGACTCTGGCCGTAGGAGCACGTCGTTTTTCGCACAACGCAGTTGGCACACGGCGGACCTTGCTCGTCGCATTTGACATGTCTTTTCTTGCAATTGAGACATCCTCTACGGGATTTGGAGTGCGTCTGCCGCTGTTTCATCGTCCTCTCTCTTCTCATGGTCCCTCGCTGTGCTCCTCTGTATACCTAGATACCTGACGGCAGTGGCTGCGCGGGAACGAGGTGCTTCGGGTGTCGTGGGTCACTCTCTGTCTGTTGCTGGTGGTCCTGTGTGTCTAGTCTCCCGTCGCGAACAAGCATGAGGGGGGCTAACCTGTGTCAGACCCTCGAGTCCACCACCCGCGGGACACTCCACCAGGGGGGCATCACGGCTTTAATACAAGTCTCAGTCTCACTCTTTCTCTTTCTCTCGAGGCCACCCCTAACGATGCAAGTGAAGTCAAGCTCCGTCACGTGCCATCATCTTGGGGGCGAATCAGGGGGCCTCAGCCCTACCGACTCACTCATCCGCCGTGCTGGCTCTGACGTTCGACTGCACGTTGACGACGTGGCTGTGCCAGCGGCATACATCTGTTGTCTTCTCTTTTGGGAATACGCGGAGAAACAGCCAATGGCGGCTCCTCGTTTCCCATGCAGAGATCGACATGTCGGCCGGATTTCTTCGGTACGCCCGCCCGACTGGGTCTGCCCTCCGATGCACGGTCAAACGGTTCCCGAACCCCCTCCCAACTGAATGGCCTCGTCCTTCTTTTTCTGCTTCCCCTAATCTTGCTCTTGCCGCCCACTGCTTGGCCCGTCAAGCCGTACCGCTTGCAGACAAGATTGGCGAGCCCCGACCAACGGTGCCACGGCCTCAGTCAGCGCCGTATGCCGGTCGCGGCTAGGTATGCGGGTGATTGGGCCGTGTCGAGAACGAAGGATCAGGCTAACGAGCAGGTCTTCTCTTGGGCTCGCAGCTAGCGGCGTCCTCATTGGCGTTCGTAACTTTTGGCATCGTAACTTTCGGCATCGTAACTTATGTCCCTTCTCGATCAGTAATAAGGCACACACAAATCAAGCTTCGCGTGCAAGCCACCCGCTTTCTCTCGATGATCTGCCCCTCCCTCCCTTTCCTCCACATGCTTATGTTGCCCTCGCCTTTTCGAGACAAGCCAAGCGAGACGGAGCGTGACGGTGTAAGCACAACCGGGCTCACACTGCCTGCGCTCTCTAGCCCACCTGCGGGAGAGGGTGGGGGCGGCGGAAACGCCCGACGTCAACTCCATGTCAATCTGCCGTGTCAATCAGCGCGAGGGAACGTGCCATGGCTGGAGAAACCCCGCACTTGAATAGCATAGCCCTAGATCCCACAAAGCTGCCGTCTCTATGAGCCTCACCGAGAAGCTCGAAATTCAACAAAGCAACCTGCCTGCCCGGCTAGCTCAATCGGTAGAGCGTGAGACTCTTAATCTCAAGGTTGGGGGTTCGAGCCCCCCGTTGGGCTCAATTCCTGACGTCGCTTCAATGGAAGCTCATCTTTTGGTGTTTGCTCCGTTTTTCTCTTTCGAGATTTGCTTTTAGGGAGCGATGATCCCGAACTTTTGATCCGTGGGTGAAGTAGTCAGGGCTCCTGCCTAATGTCATTGTGCTGAAAGTTAGACTTGAGAATTCAATTTGTAGAGATTCGACAAGCACATCCAGACATGTATGATCATGAGCGACCAAGTTGAGAAAGCCAACATAGCACTCATCTACACCGCGAGCTATATCATGCAACTGTCACCCTATGCGAGTGCATAGTTTGAAATTGCGACATACATGGAAAAATGAGGCTCACTATGCCTGTCCTTTGTGCTGGGAGTACATGAGTGTTGCCAGGAGTAGATAGGCCAATCGCGCTCTTCGTCCAGCAGCCCTCAGTCACTTTGGGAAGGCGCGTTGAAATCACCTTCATAAACCCCCATGACCAACTTGAGAGTGCAAGCTTGATAGTCCACTGTTCTGGTATGATTCTGCCGAGCTGTGCGCCTGGGGCAAGCCCTTGAAATAGCAGTCAGCTGCCCTAACTCAACACTTCAATACACATCAGGTTTCCACGATACAGAGCGACACCTCGTTTATCAGAGCACGCTGCGCCACCATGGCTGATATATCACACAACGTCTTGATGGCTGCCCAGAAGCGGCTACGCCAACGCGGATTCCATTACCCCGAATGGATTATCCTGGATCGCGAGTTTCGCGCGATCTGGGTTGCACTGAAAGCCCACCCCCTCTGCGACGGATGGGTGCACGTGTCCGACGCTGATCTGTTCAACCTCAAGGACTCGACCGCTGTGTGTCTCGACACCGTCTTCAGGACATGTATCAGAGTCATCGAGCCTCGTCTCGCCACCGACCACGGCGCTCCGCTGCCGGACGAGTGGCTCGCGTGCAAAGTCATCGACGCCCTGGTGCAGACGGAGCCCAGGTGGAAGGTACTCAGCTTTTTCACGGACGATGCCGATGAGCAGGGCCATTTCGTATGGTTTCTCTACATCTACATCGACGGTCGGCAGGCGTACATCAAGAATGGAAACAACGATCCGGCGAACTTGTCGAAATGCGAAGCAGCGCTTCTGTCGACTGTCGACAGACTCCTTTTGCTGTTCAAGGTACGTATTTGTACCGGAATTCTGCTCTTCACATTCTCATCTTTCTTGTAGCGCAGACAGGAGACCTATGACGCGTGGTGCAAGGCTTCTTCTCAGCCGAGCCAGGGAGAAGCATCCCGCAAAGCCGCTGCGTCTTACGCCACCACCCAGCACAGCGGTTTGACACTTGACCCAGATGCTCAATCAAACACTCTTGACGCAAACAGAAAAGGGGATTCCAGGGTTGAGCAGCTGAATGCCGATGTCAAGCTTGTACAAAAACAACTCCATGAACTAAAGTCCTCCGTGGAAACACGCCTCGAACAAGTCGGTCTCAAAATCGACGCGCAAGCAGCCTTCGCCAAAGACGCCATGGCTAGACAAGCGTTGACTGCGTCGTCGAGTATCAAGGAATTGACGGCAAAAACAAACGACGAGCTCAACTCAGTTACTGCCGCTTGTTCGCACATGAGTCAAGCTGTGGCGACACTCATTGATACGCTCGATCGCCAGGAAAAGAAGATCGATGACTTCAAGACTCGAGGCAGCGCCGGGAAGGTCAAAGCCGGCACCAGCAAGAAGACGCAAACATTGGAAGCCGCCATGGACAGGACGACTCAGACGGCTGGGGCCGGCATCGACAAGGAGATCCAAACCATCGAGTTCGAAGAATCTCCTCATCGTGCGCCACGGAATGCAGCTGCAATACGCCAAAATTTGCAGCACGTGCGCAAGACTGCCTCTCATGCTGGCCCTTCTCCAGCCGAGGACACTCACAGTTCGGTCCGGCGCAGCGTCTGCCAAAAGACGGACTTGCCCCGAAATCTTCCTCCTATCGTGCTTCCTGCTAGCGCCGATTCTATCGAGACCACGCAAAACCGGGCTGCGCACATCGAAACTACCGTCGAGACAGCCCCTTTAGAGATTGTATCGGCCAAACCCTGTACGCCCGGACAGAGGGATGCGGCAACGAAACAAGAGAATATGGCATGTAAGTCAACTCTCCTGCCAGGCTCGTTGCTCCTACTCAAGCTCACTGCCTCGAAAGCTCTTGTAGACATCCTCGACAGCGCGCCAGAGCCACTCGACAAGGCCGTCCAGGATATACTCGACCTAGAAAGTAGGTTGCGTGCAAGTTCCTCCATCGTCCTGCTGAATTGACACTCCCAACAGAGATCATGGCCTCGTTCTCTCTATAAAGCGTGAAGAAGTGGCACGTGTCCATGGAGATTCGGTACAATTGGTGTTCATGGCTGATGCGGCCTGTCAACGCCATCCCTTCGTTGGATTTTGTAAGAATTCTTGACCTGACATCCTGGATGTTGCCGCTCTGGAGGTCTGCTTCATCTGCCACGAGCAGGCTCTGTCCCAAGAGAAGGGCTTGAGCCCATCAGCTTTCTGGAACATACCAAGCCTATTCTTTTGTGACCTCCTTCCCACACAGCCTGTGATCTGGAAAGGTTTCCAAAATACCCGCCCAGGCATGCCTATCATGGCCTCAAAAGAAAACCCGCCCATCCCCCGTCCCATCAACTCCCGCCCTTTCCTCCTCCACCAGCTCCAGCGTTGTCGAACACGCCTCACCACCAAACCGCTCCCTCAAAGCCCGCCGAAAAACACTCTCCCCCAGCCCCCCCACCGCCGCGAACAAAGTCAAACAAGACCGGACCTTCACCCAATCCGTCTCCCCAAACAACCTCACCATATCCGTCTCCTCGCTGCGCAGAACAGCATCCACAGCCTCGCGCAGACGGGGCCCGAGCACAGCGTGCGCCGCGTAGCGACGCGCCTCGTCGACGGACGCGAGGGCAAAGTAGCGGTTCAGCGCCGAGACGCCGAGGCCCGCGAGCTGGGGGAACACGAACCAGACCCAGTGGGACGTCTTGCGGCCGCTGCGAATCTCGGCCATGGCCTTGTCGAAGACGGTCTGGCCGGGGGTGGCTGTTTTGTTGAAGGGAGCGGTTTGGTTCTGGACGAAGCGGTCGAGGGAGGACCTGTTGGATTCGGTGAGGATGAGGCTGGCCTGTCTGTTGGATCGGAGGCTCCTCATCTTGGTTCCCTGGCTTGAGGTACTTGTTACTCTGGAAAATGACGACGATGGAGATATTGTGACCGGCCGGTGTCTGCTGGTATATGGTGATCAAGTCGCGTCGCGTCCGTGTTGGGCTGCGCGGGGGTGGGGTCGCGTCCTTGATGTAGTACTACGACTGGCAGGCAGGCAGGCACAAAGGGGATGCTCTTCAAAACCAGTTCATCTGTTCTCTCCCATGGCGAGAAAGTCGAATCATGGCAAATGCGGGTTGCCTACCCCTTCTCGAAAGGGACATCCACCGGCGACTGATTGAAGCAACATCAGCTCAGCGCTTGAGAACTAAGGTGGCGGCATTTCGCCCCAGCATCTGTGTGCACGATCAGCCCCGGCACGCCTCGCCATCCCGTCACGAAACACAATCGCAAGACTCGGCACGAGCGATAAGGAATCTAGCAATCATGTCTATCGTTTGCATCGTTCTCATACAGATTTTAGGCAAAACCCGCGACGGCAAACAGGCGCAGGATTCTCTCTGCATGGTCACTGCAGTTACACGCTGATCCACCGCGCCATCCACGTCCTCGTCACCTCCTTCGCCTCGTCGACCAGTCCCAGATCCAACAGCATCTGCACCGAGCCCCTCGTTGCGCTCTCCAGCGCGCTGAACACCCACGAGTGCGTGTAGCTCGTGTGCTCGCCGATGAAGACCGTGTTGAACTCGGTGTGGAAGAACGCCGGCAGGTACAGCTGCTGCTGCGGCACGATGGGCACGGCCCATGACCCGGCGTGGTGCTCATCGTGCTCCCAGCAGTGTCTCTCCCAGTTACCCGTCCAGTTCTCCTCGGCTGCGGGGCCGTGGATGTCGACCATGGCGCGCTGGATGTAGGCAATATGCTCCTCGTCGGACATGGCGCACGCGACCGTGGCGTCGTACGAGGCGACGTACGACGCGAGCAGCACACCGGGGCCTGTGGAGTTGATGTCCCATGACGGGTAGCAAATCTGGCCGATAAGGGGCACATTGACGCGACCGCAGCCGCCGATGATGGGGTGCTCAAGATGCTCCCAGAAGCGCGTCTTGTACTGGATGGCAACCTTGACAGAGCCGTCAAAGACGGTGCGGTCGATGGCGCGGCGCATGAGGCTTGAGTGAGGAGGCAGCTCCCAGAAGCGGAGAAGGTTGAAGGGCACACTGTTGAAGATGTAGTCAAATGATTCCCTGGTGGAGACAACTTCGCGGGGGTTGCTGCCGGTCGGGCGATACGAGATGGTGAGCGTCTTGTTGTCGGCGTGGTGCTTGACGCCGTGGACCTTGGCTCCGAATTGAATACGGTCCTTCACAAGCGGGGCGAAGGCTTCTGGCATACGGCTGAGCCCGCCCTTGATGGTCTTCCACTTCTTGGCCATGAAGTACACGGTCTCATACTCCCACATGGGCCACACAACCTGCGAAGGCGTCGCCTCATCTGTAACGTTGAGATCGGTACCAATAACGTGGCGGAGGTATTCGACCTCGGAGAAGTCAAACATGCCCTGCTCCACGGCCTGCTTGTGTGCTTGGAAAATGTTGGTAGCGTAGAACTTGATGCGCTCTGGAGTGAGTCCCTTGAAATCGTCCAGCGCTTGTTGAGCTTCAGCAACAGCCGTGGCGTTGGAGTACTGAGCGGGCTCAAAATAGGCAGGGTTTGTGGCGATCTCCGTCCTGCCGGGGAATGTGCCATCGGGTCGGCGCTTCGTGGTCGACACGGGCGTATTAGCGGCCGTTTGGATCCAGTCGATAAACTTGACTTGAAGCGAGTCGTTGCCTGCGTTCATTTTGTTGAGAACATCGGCGACTTGATAGATCATACGCTGATCCATGATGGGGAATGTTTCATTGGTGGTAGGGTCAGTGATCTCGTCTGCAAAACGCATGGGACCCAGTTCGTGGTATTGGCCATCGTCCGGGCTCGTGCCATTCAGGTAGCTCGTCAGCATGCGGCCTCCGATACGGTGGGAGGACTCGAGAATTTTCCAGTTGTGGATGCCGACAGAGTCGAGGATGAGCTGCGCAGGTCAGGCGATGTGGTCTTGTCTTGGTATGGTTGTTTTGGAAGCGTACCGCTGTGAACAGACCGGAGATTCCGGCTCCCAGAATGCCGAATTTCTTGTCCTTGACCTGCGCCACGAACACTTCGTCCGGCTGCTTTTGCTGCAGGTATTCGACGCCATCAAACCAAGGTCCCATGGGGTCGGCGACGTCGGCGAAACTCAGTCTGCGACGAACCATGCGCTTCTTAGCCCGCAGCTCCTGCGACTGCCCTGCGAGCTGTCCGTCCACGAAGGCGTGAAGACATCCGTCAGGAACGTTCGAGGGTGCCACCCAGACAAACTTGGTCGGCCTCTGCGCTTGCCAGTCGACGTGTCGTTTAGCATGAGGGTGTCTGCCAACATGCGTTCGGCCAACCTGGTGATGGGCCTCGCCGAGCGATGTCATATCGCAGTTGCCGTAAACGATCGTAAGCTCACCGTCGACATCCTCATGGTAAGATACATTGATGTTCTGAGCACCACCATGCTCTACTTCGAGCGGACCCTGAAACGTGATAGAGCGTCGAGATGTGCTCTCAGCCGCGGAGAGCGTGATAAGAGGGGCCGCGAGGGCCAAGGACAGCAACCGGTAAGCCATTATTTGCAATTGGATGCACATAGAGAGAAGTCTCACCATCAACGAATAACACAACTGTTGCACGATGGCTTTTATACCCCGACTTGATGACTTTTTGTCCGCCCCCTCCGACTACGGCGAAGAACACAGCAGGCTTGAATGCATCGCTTCGTGCTGTCGGCAGTTGCCACATCTCGGCCGACGATAGGGATCAAGGCCCAGATACCGGCGATCTTCCCGGCATTTCCAAGTACGGGCATGTTACCGTGCTTGGCAGTGCAGCATCTCCGCCGCCGGCCCCGACCTTATCGTGGTACCCCTCATGGGATCCTTGTCGTGCCTGAGTCATGAGTCGATTTCTGTGCTGCTTCTAGACGAAAAAGCGTTGTTTAATAACATGAGGGCACCTTGATGGATGGTCAAGATCTTCGCTGGAGGGCGGAAGGGGTTCGTGATCGGAAGATTCAAGATGCTGCGCCCCGACTCTAGAAGCTGTTCACCACGATCGTAGGCATGGTTTGTGGCAAAAGAACCGGCCAATCTCACGAGTTGGCAGGAAGTCTTGAGGCCTCAGATGTCTTTTCAGGTATGATTGAGCTTCAGCCAAGAGGCTCTGGAATTGTTGAAGAACCTCAACAATCAGTACTAGTGACAAAGCTCGTCGCATAGGTCAGGCCACCGGAGCTTAGGACGGGGCCTGTTCGGCTGATATTGTTCCGCTCAATGGGCGGATAAGGAGGCGGGAAAGTCTAAGCTCCATCCATGCCGGGGTAGGACTTAAAAATTTGATCCTTGATGTCACGTCGCGCATATGCCGGGGCGAAGTCGAAGACTGCGGCGCTGACTGATGCTGAGATGACGGTGAACAAACTTGTCCGAGTCGCCGACCTACGGGCGGGCTACTGAAGCTTCTTGTGATTGACTTGCGTTCTTGTGAACACGCAAATACTGATCTGGTCGGTGGTTATTTTCATCGAAGTTTACATCGACCATGATGATTGTCCGGCCGCCGGTGGTTACTAGCGCTTCCTCAAATGTAAGGTTAATTATGAGGTTGAATGGAGGTGCCAAAAGGGTGCTCCAACACGTGCGCCATGCGCGACCTAGCCTGCCCGGAGCCGTGGCCATGGCGTTGGGAGTATGGTACCATTGTGTACTGCAGGGAACCTGTGTAATTCCGGGAAATCGGATGTGATCTGCGTTTCAGGCAGTTCGCAGTATTCCCCAACATCGTTTCTCTGCTTTGGGCGCTTGGGCAGGTCTCTAAGCCACCCATAGACTCCAACCGACCAACCGGGCAGTCGAGGGCAGTCGAGAATGGCCTTCTGCTGAATTGTGTATGAACGTTATTCGTCGCATCAACATTCATCAATGCAGTGGCGTGATGTATATCAGGTCGCACTGCTCAGCGGCATAGCTGAGTTTGGTGTTTCGGATCCCTTTTCGTGCCTGAAGACCGAGAGGCTCGGTCTCGGGTTTTTGTCGTAGCTGGAGAATTTATTTGCTGTAGTAATATACAGAGTCTCCGGCATTAAGCTGCTACCACAAAGCCAACGGATGCAGTTGATGCGGGCATCGAACGAGGCATCCTTTGGCAATCATGGAGAATAGGTGTTGGTTGTCGCGAGCTCACAAATATACTTAGGCAGGTATGGTTTGATCTAGCAACATGATGGTTGCGACCTTACTTTCACCGTTGCCTGAAGCAAGTTTGTCCTCATAATGAATGACGCGCCAGTGGTCGACTTGACATACTGGGATGGGGGCTGCTGCGCTGACAAAGGATACGGTGTGGGCTGCATGGTGGTCGGTATCGCGGACCAGGTATGATAGCAGATCTTGAACGATAAAGATCGCGGGGAGTCGGCGAAGGCTGGAGAAATCCGCGTCGAGAATCACATGCCAATTGCATGAAAAGTGAGGTGATCTTCAGGGTCTCAGCTTGTCGACGACCTCCTCGCTTTCGCCTGATCGGTGCACGGGCCATTGATGGGAGGCGAAGAAAGACACGCAGGGAAGAACTCAACGGGTTGGTTGGCTGTGGACGTGGGGAGAAAGGGTAGGTAGTCGCGCTGCCAACATTGGGCTCACAGGTACTTCGAGGCTTTGGTCGTGACTGACTGCCTGCAGGTCCTCAGCCACAATTGCCCCGCTCCACATCCCATCATCGGCGCAGCGATGACGTTGCTCTCTCGAATGGGAGCAGCAGCACCCACGTCGCCCCTCCCCAACAATCGTCACCCGAAAACACGTCGGCAGGAGCTAGAGGCCGCCGTCTGCCCCAAAAGCCCGCGCCTTCCTGTCATGCTATTGTCGCTGCCTTGGCATAGAAGCAAAGTGAACCCACGCGTCTTTTCGAGCTCGTGACATTCCGGCTCAAGCACCTGAACCTTTAAGTACTCCTTCGAACCCATCCCACGCCAGCTGCCCATCCCTCCTCAACTACCAGCCCAACTTGATACCCCCTCTTGAAACCTTTTAATTACCCCGCTCTTGCATCGTCCCACGCCGGCAAGACCTCTCAACCTCTACCACAAACCACAAACCACAAACACAAGCACCTCTACGACAAAACGATCACCGTCACAATGACTGCCAACACTGTCCTCGTGAAGAACATCGCTTCGGCGACCGAGGACAAGGAGATCCGCGACTTCTTCAGCTTCTGCGGCAAGATCACAAGCCTCGATGTCACCCCCGCCGGTGAGGAGAAGGAGGCCACCGTCACCTTTGAGAAGGAGACCGCAGCCAAGACCGCCCTTCTGCTGAACAACACAAAGCTTGGCTCATCCCACATCAGCGTCACCAGCGCCAGCGGCGACGCCTCCGACGACGGCTCCCACTTCACGAAGACGGACGCCAACCGCGACACGGACGAGATCACCCAGGAGGAGAAGCCCCGCACCCGCATCTTCGCCGAGTACCTCGCTCACGGCTACGTCGTCGGCGACGCCACCCTGCAGCGCGCCATTGAGCTCGACAGCCAGCATGGCATCTCCTCCCGCTTCCTCAACACCCTCCAGGGCCTCGACCAGAAGTACCACGCCACCGATCGCGCCAAGGCCACCGACCAGTCCTACGGCATCTCCGCCCGCGCCCAGGGCCTCTTTGGCGGCCTCAGCAGCTACTTTGAGCAGGCTGCCAGCTCGCCTACTGGCCAGAAGATTGTCAGGTTTTACGAAGATTCTCAGCGCCAGGTCGCTGACATTCACACCGAGGCCCGTCGTCTGGCCGACCTCAAGAAGGAGCAGTCCGGCGGCAGCGCCTACAAGGCCTCGGGCCTCGAGAAGATCTTTGGCAAGGAGAAGGAGAAGACGGTGCCCCCTCAGACCGGCGAGACGGTCGGTACCGCCGCCCCGACGCAGCCTGACGACAGCTCGTCTGTGCCCCTGTCCAAGCCCGGCGGCGAGAAGGCGTAGAGGGTCTATTGATGGACTATCTGTTGTTGAAGAGAAATGAAATGGTTTCGCAGGCGTTGGATGGCATCCGTTACGAAATGAGTCTTGCGTGTGATGATAGCGACAGGAAGTATCGACGAATTCTTATCTCCGCAGTAATTCAACTACCACGATGAATCTCCTACCTCTGTTTCCCCAGTGACCTTACTTGAATGGCGGTCCATATGATCCCCAGCGTCAATGACGGAGGACGTTTTCGTGACGCAGAACATATTTACAAGACTACTTTGCCAGCACGCCTGTTTTTTGGGATCGGTCGGTCATCTCAAATTCGCGCATATGTCCAAACCCAACAATCCTGCACGTTACCAATAAGGTCGACATGCAGCAACGCCAGCCAAATCCAGACGCCCGAGCCCCGGTTGCCTTAAACATCAAGTTCACAAACGACAGCGCAACAACGCATGATTTCAAACTCTCGATTCCATTGCCCGCCCCATAATTCCGTGGGCTTAATCATACAGTCATTACGTATCTCCCGCATGTACTATCCATGCTCTTCGTTCATTTCTCCGTCTTGCTGAACTTGTCCTTCAGCGCATCATCAAGCGCACCCTTGGGGTTCGAAGACAGGTTCTGCACCAGTCAGCCTCCCCGTCCTATACGATCAAGTGTGCGTTGGGGGTAGTTACCTTCAGCTGGTCGGCGTTGACTTGCTCCTTGTTGTCCGCCTTGTCGGTGCCCTGGCCGGAGCCGGGGGGCGACTGCTGCTGCTTGCCAGACTGCCTCTCGGGCTCGGGGGACTGGCGACCTTCAGGCATGTTTGATTTGATTTGTATCGACGAAGAGGTTTTGGTTTGGTTGCGATTTTGAGGAGTATTGGTTTGAATTGATGGAGGGGTAGCTACGTGGTCTTGTAACGACGAGGAGAGGGAAAGAGCTCAGCCAGCTGCGAGAGTTAAATACAGCTACGGACACTGGTCGTCGATCCGCTGTTTTCCTTCCTGGCCTTCCTTATCCTGACTCAGCCATTCGCTGCTGCCGCTACACCTTGACTGATAGAACGGCATGAAAGCTGTTGAGACGCATACGGATTGTTACGTGCTGCTGCTGTAGCTGATGTCACATTGATGAGATCGCAATGGTGGATGACGGCATGGTGGTGAGGACGCAAGTGACGTCAGGACCGGAGCGTTTGTCGCGGGGGCGGGGCAGGTGGGGCGTGCGAGGGGCCTGTGGCTGGTGAGAGGGGCAATTCATCGTGATGACGCGATGCGCGGGTGTGGTGAGAGGTTTTGGTGTTTTGGGTCGAAAGATGTAGATTTTGTGGTGAAGGATTCAGGAAACATCATGCACAGGATTTCTAATTGCATGGTCCCAAGCGCTAGGCAAACGCTGATTGAGTTGAAAACTCACTATGGTCCAACGCGTACGTATCGTCAGAGCGTGAGGTGTGAGGCGCATTGATTGAAACCAGTGTCCCGCGATTCTTATGGAGTTCCCAATCGCGTGTGGCTCTTGACATAGCCTTAAAGCGTATGACGAAATCCTTGTGTTCGTACTTCCTGCAAACACCTAGTCAGCAAGTCGTCCAAAATTGCACCCGCCTGAAGAGCCGTCTCACCTCTGATATCTCAAGCTCAACCTCACCTCTATCTGCCCTCAAATTTGCGAAGTGGAAGTAAATCGTCAAACTGAGCACGATGAGGACGTTCAGCACCGCACATGCTAAGCACGTCGTAAGCCCCAGCAGATACGCCGGCGCATCTTGCGACCTAAACTGATTAGCCCAAGCCCACGCGTTGACACGTCCCATCAGAATGGCTGGATCTCACCTGAACACCAAGGTCCCGAAAATACCACCAAAGCCGGAGACGCCAACGACGAGCGCACTCGAGAAGGCCCGCTTCCACTGGCCCCTGATGTTGTTCGCCTGGTACGCCATCGTCACCGGCACGGCGCTCGTCGTTCCCGCTGCTGTGAGAAACACGCCGGAGTAGCGGAACTCGGTTCTCTGATGAAAGCCCATGAGCGATGTGCCGGTGATGGACAGCAGCATCATGGCGACGAGAAAGGGCCCGCGAACGCGGTATCGGTCTCCCAGCCAGCCGACTGTATGCATGACTATCGCGGCGAAAACGTACGGAGGCGCGACCAGGGCCTGGGACTTGGCGACGCTGAAGCCCATGTTCTTCCGGAGAATGATGGGAAGGAAGTTTGCCAGCGCTGTGATCTTGTTAGCGACGGAGCTTCCAGACCGCCAAGGATTACAGACCAAAGTTGACAACGGCGTTGTTGAAGAAGATGAGTGCGAACGCCCACACCTTGGGGTCAAGACCGCCGCGCATGAGCTTTCTCAAAGTAAGATTCGAGATGGCGACGTCTCCACGGTCGGCATTGACCCGCGATCTGACCCAGGCGAGCTCGCGGCTTGAGAGAAAGTGTCGTGAAGGTTTTGTCGTGTCGGGAAATTCAGCCAGTAGAAAAAGGCCCGCCAGGCCAATCAGGCAGGTGATGATGCCATCTATCATGAAGATCCACGACCATCCGCGTAAGTTCCCGAGGCCGTCCATTCTTGTGAGCTGGAGCTTGTCAGCATTCTAATCTGTGCGAATCACACAGGGGAAATGTTACCCCGCTGGCGAGAAGTCCCCCGAAAGCATAGGACACGGAGACGAGAATGTAAAACCACGAGAATCGAGATCCAACCTCAGCTGTTGGTCAACATTAGCTTCGTAGGTCACTCTTGCGAGACTGAAGAGAAAAAACCTCTGGTGTACCAGGTACTCAAGAGATAATGGCAGCTTGGAAAGAAGCCAGAATCCAATGCACCAAGGAGCAACCTCATGACGATCATGTCTATCCAGGACTTTGCATGGCCCATCCCAATGACGACAAGGCCGCTCGACAGTGTAATGGCAGAAAAGTAGAGCCGCGGCCCAATTGTTCTTGCCATGATGGTCGAAAGGGGTTGAAAGAGAATATATGTGGCGAAGAATACGACGATAGTCACGGACTTGTACGAATTAGCAACTCTGGGTTCCACAAGAACATCCTCAACTCACGAATCTGTTGCCGACGAGCTGGAGATCATCCGCCATCCCCGCGACACTGGCAGAAGCGAGTGCTGATCGACCAATGACCGAAAAGCAATACATGATGCCCACGAAGACGACGAGCCGAAGGTCCATTTTCTTCAGCGCTCTTTTCTGTTCTGCAGCCGAGAGCGCATCGCTATTCTGAGCGAGTTCGTTGCCGTCACCAGGTACCTGAAGAACGCCGATAGTGTGATGAGTCGTCTTACGACGAGCTGCTCCGTTCAGCGTGGACATGCTTTGAGCCTGGTTAGTGTGTTACTCCAAGGTGCCCGGCGCCACCAAATGAATATTCGGTTGAGATTTCGATGTAAGTGGGTTTCGACAGCGAGGGGTTCAATCGAAGAACTTGCTACCAGTCTTTTGTACTGATTGATACATAGACGCCATCAAGGACAACCCTAGGAAGTATGTGCATTGCTTTTATAAGACTGTACAATGAAGCATGCAGCTCAATCACCACTTGCGCCGGGATCGAAATCGTCGGCGGCCCTGCGGCGCCCTACAGAACAGAGCAAGAAGGCTCTGGATAGAGTTTGAAAAAAACTTCTAAGCGTGAATCAGGGCGCATTGATCAGTGGTAGACTTTCACACATATGCTGAGTCATCCCACCATCAACTGAGGTGGACGCCATAATCGATTCAACAAACACGTTCGACGATTGATATTCTAAACGTGAACCAACCTTAGAGTGCAATGACCAAACCTTCTGTTGTGTCACAGCAAGTAAGAGACTGGCCTATGATCAGCAATGGTTCACCATGCTTTTTCGTACCCGTCACAGCCAATTGAGGTTTAGTCACAATGCGGAGACATCTGCTTTGTAATGATTATGGGGTCTCAGAAACATGGCCATTGGCGCTGACAGACAAGCTATAAGCCGTACGTCAGAGCCAAGAAGTACAGCACCCTTCTGAGCCGCATGAGCCCAGCATTTGCAACAATGCCGCGTCAGAACGACTGGAATCAGGCCGCAGTCGAGACGCTGCACGCCCGCTTCTGGCCATCTCAGCCACGCGCGATCTGGCGGATGAGGAATCGGGGAGCCGCCCCAGCAGCATCAGCATTGTAAGAAAAGTGCGCGGGCAGGATGAACAGCGTGCCCCAGCAAACAGCATCACTGATGGCACAGTAAATCTCCGTCTTGGCGGTGGGGAAGTTGGGGATACGACCCAGGTTCTGCAGGTTCTTGGTGTATCCGAAGAGCACAGCACCCTTGACTTGGTTCTGGACGGCTGAGCTGAGCTCGGACAGTGCGTTGCCGACGACGGCGGTGCCTTGACTGCGAGGTGTTAATGGTCGGCACTCGTCTTTCCTGTACAGCGAATCTTAGGAACCACGACGCACCTGTAACCGCCAGTAACGATAGGCGTGTTGGGACACTTCGTGTTGGCAAGGGTGAAGAGGCGCTTGGCCTCGTTGATCGAGGCTCTGTCGGTGCCGGAGGGGAGGAAGTTGGGGGACAGTTCGGCGCCGTATGGGCCGCCGACGCCCTGGATCCAGATGCCGGCTGAGCCATACTCGCGCGTTAGGGCTGAGGCGAGGGTGGGGCCCGCAGTGATTCCCTTGGCTTTATTAGAAACATCCCTCTCTGCTAGGATGTAGAAGGGCTCACCATGTTGCCCGGCTCGGTGGAGCCGCGGGCATAGATGAGGATGGCGCGAGGGCACCTGGAAGAACTGCCAGATTCAAGCTCACTGCGGGTGCTCGACTGACGGGCTTCAAGCACGGCGAGCTCGTTCCGCGAAACAAGCACCTCGGCCTCTTCGGCAGCTGGCTCGACAGGGAGAGCAACAGCGAGGGTTGCCAGGACAGTGACAATGGAGAGGAACTTCATGGTGAAGGATGATCAGAGTGCAAAGGTGATGACAAGTTTCGTGAATGAGCTAGCCAACAGAGAAGTAGAATGAAGAGCTTGGGGGTCTGGGGATTCAGGTAAACCTCCCACGAAGTCCTTCTCTCATTTATACATCTTGGAGACGACGAACTTGCTTGAGCACCCTCACGTGGTATCCTGAAGCTCGCAAAGACGGTGCTTCCCTCTCACAAGGCCCAAGACAGCGACACTCTCTCCAGTATTGATGCTGCCCACGAGACAAGTTCGAAAGCTCTTGAAAGTCTTTCGCCAAGGACGTTCCCTCCAATCGCATCTTCACAACCCTTCTGGATAGAGGACAAAAGGCCTCGCTGCTCGACTATTCCACTTGGCAGATCGTGATCTAGTCGTTGCGACATGAAGCTATCGCGAACCTCAGTAAGCCACGGGCGTGGCATCGCCCGCCTGACTCGCAAGCTGGCACCAGAAAAGGAAAGCGGCTTGTCCAGCGTTGGGGTCTTGAGGTTGTGCGATGGCGGGGTAGGACCGTTGTGCCTCGGGACGAGCAGAACGTGGCTTGAGATTGGGAGAAAGCGTCTATCTGGGGTGCATTAGCTGCTGCGGGGTGCATGCATATCTGGGTGTCTTGAACGTGGGGAGCATAGAGATGCCGAGGTGTTGATTTTGATACGTGAATATGCCATTTCGAGTGCAGCGAAAAGCGACAAGATGGTCTTCTTTCATGTGACGTCCTGCAGTCATCAGCTGTGTTTCTCACGCTAACGACCGTTGAAGGGCCGGGAGCAATATGTCGCGAAGTGTCCCCATGAGACTAAGTCTGTATTTAGCTCTGCATGCGAGTATTTAGCTCTGCATGCGAGTACACTCAGCGTTTTTCAGGTCACGATGGACCATGTGAGTGGCATCCATATGAAGTGATCAATTTTGGTACAGCACCAGGCGATTGATTCAAAGCCTTCGGTGCCATTCTTGGCTACATTGGTGACGGCGAATACGTTCGAGATAAACGTATTGAGTCCAATGCCGTCAATTTTCTGCCCATTACTGGTTCCCTGATTCAAGGCATAGGCAGTAAAAGCCATCACAGAGAGCCCGCACCACCACCTTCATCTTGAAATGCACTCCTCTCCAAGCTCACGTCTAGCTACGTTACGTGAGAGCTATTCGAGCTGTATATTAGCTATACTTTAGTATTGGATCCTCAGCACGTATGGTAGGTAGGCACCGTGCTCTACATGGTGTCTCGGCAGAACCATACTCAGAGCCGATTGAAAAGTCACTTTCAAACGCACTGTATCCAGCAGGGCCTGGAAATGGTAGGAAGTCCAAGTAAAGTCCGTTGCTCCCCTAACCTAACCTCAAAGTTGAGATCAACCCCGGGGTGCTAAGCAGAAGCATACAGCCACTCAAAAAACAGTGCCCCCCCCATCGACCACAATCTCGGCCCCATTGACATAGCTCCCAGCCCGGCTCACGAGCATCAGCACAACAGCCGCCACCTCCTCGACCCTGCCCATACGCCCCAGGGGGTTCCGCCCCGTCCACACAGCCCTCGCCTCGGCGAGCCCCGCGCCCTCATTGAGCACCGTGTCCAGGTAGCCCGGGCTGACGACGTTGACGCGGAGGCCGTACCGCGCCCACTCGGCCGCGAGGCTCCGGCCGAGCATGACGACCGCCGCCTTGGACGCGTTGTACCCGGCCTGCGGCTGCGGGAAGTTGACGCGCGCCCCGCTGATGCTGGCCGTGAAGACGAGGCGCCCGCCGCGGCCGCGCGCGACCATGGTCCGCGCGACGGCCTGCGCGCAGAGGAACGTGCCCGTGGCGTTGACGTCGAGGGTGCGGCGGAAGTCGGCGGCCCGCGCGTCGAGGGACGGCACGCACGCGACGACGCCGGCCGTGCAGACGAGGGCGTCGATGCCGCCGTCGGGCTGGGCCGCGGAGAAGGCGGCCGTCGCGGCGCCGACGGCGTCTTCGGACGTCACGTCCACTTCGGCCAGCGTGATGGCGGCGTGCGGGTGGGCTTGGCGCAGGGACTGCAGGGCGGCGGTCGAGGCTGCGGAGGTCGTGTTGACGTCCCAGAGACAGAGGGCGGCGCAGCCGTGCTGGAGGAGGGCGTGGGCGATGGCTGTGGCGAGGGCGCCGGTGCCGCCGGTGATGATGGCGGTGCGGGGGCTCGCGAAGCGCGTGGCGGCCGTGTCGGCAGGGGTGAGCTCGGCGTCGGTTCCCGGGGTTGGTGTTTGGCTTGGTGAGGCCAGGGTCATCTTGGGGAGAACCCGTGATGTCAAATCTTCTCGAGACATGACTGCGTTGAGGCTCGATGGGTGGAGATTGTTAGAGGCAATGTGATGATGGACAGATGCACGAGGTGAAGTGTTGAGATTCTGAGTGCGGATGCAAAGGCGGGGTTCGAATGCTGATGCGGGGGATCAGCATCTGCAGTGCTCAATCATCAGATGACGGCTATGATACGAACGAATTGGCGCTGATACGGGGTGAATGTCACGAGGCGGACATCAGATCACGGGTAGCCAGCATCTTGGCAGCCGGTCCCGTCAACACCTTTTTGCCAACATAGAGTCGATCCATTACTTCTATTTCATTACGAACATTGTTCCAATGCTTGATGCATTTTATCTATGACCCAGTCTATCCCAAGATATGCCGCGGCAGTTTACCGCCTGTTAAAGTTCAAGAATCGAGCCTGCAGACACATTATTAGCATCAAGTTTTACACCATCTTTCGCGAATACCACAGAATAAGGGCGCAACTTACACCAAGGAATATAATCACGATGTTGCTCGCAAAGAACGCCAGGAAGATGCCCATGTCCCTCCACCGCTTGTCGAAACCAAATCCGAGCGGCGTGTAGAACTCGTCACCAACCTCAAACGCGCAGTACTGACACTCCGATGTCGAGTTGTCGACAATGTAGCCCGCGCCGCCGTTGGCGAAAAAGTCGGACATGTACTCGCCACAGTTCTGGCCGCTGGGCGCATTGAACGGGTTGAGCTCGGCGCCCTTGCAAACGACCTCGAGCTCGTGCAGGGCCGTCGTGACCATGCCGCCGATGAGGCGCGTGAAGGGGTCGAGCTGGTACAGCCAGGCGCGCCAGAAGGCGGGCATCTGCGGGGGCGGGACAGCGACACCGCAGAACAGAGCAAAGGTGATCATGATGAAGGGGTCGAACTGCGACGAGATGAAGGCCGAAGGGGTCAGAGACGCGAGCATCTGGCCGAGCGTGACGGAGAAGAGCTCAGTGATGAGGATCATGAGGAACTGGTAGCCGGCACGCGAAGGCTCGACCTGGAATCCGGGCAGGAAGTAGATCAAAACGAAGAAGGCGACGGCGCACATGATGCTGTAGGGCATCTCGGCGAGGACGATACTCGCGGCGAACGTGGTCGGGTTGTACATCTTGGAGCTGCTCTCACGGAAGAAGATGGCGCGCTTGATGTGATACATGACCTCGACCTGCGAAATGATCAAAGCAGGAAGAACCGTGACCTGGAACATGACGAAGACCTTGTACTGCAGGCTGGAGCGCGAGTTGTCGAGGTCGAGGTACGTCAGACCAGTGAGCAGCGCGACGACAATGTGGTTGAAGAGACGGGTGAAGATGTAGTTGGGGCTGCGCCAGAAAGAGAGGTTCATGCGGTGAATGACAATCTTGAGCTGGTGCAGCTGCGGGCTGGCGTACTCCTTCTCGAGGTCAGCGTTATGCTCCCTGGCGGCCGCCTGTCGGGAGCTGCGCATCTGCGAGATGGTGTCCTTGACGTTGGCGAGCTCGGCGCTGTCCTCCCAGATATCGGCCCAGTCGCGAGAGCCAACACGCGGCGCCGAACCGGCACCGATGGCCTCGAGCATGAACTCGGCGACGTTGTCAGTGGGCTTGGCCACGGCACCGTGGCTCTTGAGGTACGAACGAAGGACCTCGGCGTCACGGCCAATGTCGCCAAAGTAGACAGTGCGGCCACCGCGCTGCAGAAGCAGCAAGCGGTCAAAGTTCTCAAAGAGCGCGGCGTTGGGCTGGTGGATGGTGCAGAGAATGGCTTGGCCGGCAGAGGCGAGCTTCTTCAGGAAGCGCACAATGTTGTAGGCGCTCTGCGAGTCGAGGCCCGACGTAGGCTCGTCGAGGAAGAGAAGCAACTCGGGCTTGGCGGCGAGCTCGACACCAATGGTGACGCGCTTGCGCTGCTCGACAGTAAGACCGAACTCGGGGGTACCAATGATGCAGTCAGCGATGGTCTCCATCTCCAGAAGGGCGATGATCTCCTCAACATAGGTGAACCGCTCTTCTTGGGGCGTCTCATAGGGCTGGCGAAGCTGGGCCGAGAACCGAAGGGCCTCACGGACAGTCTGGGACGGGTCGTGCAGATCAAGCTGCTCGGCATACGAGGTGCTGCGCTGGAACTGCTTGCCCGGCTTGGAGCCGTCGACGAGAACGTCACCGCCAATAACACCGATGTTCTTGCGCGAAGCGAGCACGTCGAGAAGGGTCGTCTTGCCGGCACCAGACGCGCCCATGAGAGCGGTCAGCTGACCGGGCTTGACGTAGCCGAACACGTTGTTCAGAAGTCTCCGGTCGCCACCAGGGACAGGGACATCGTAAGTGAGGTTCTCCCAGGTCAGGATGCTCTCCGACTTGATGGACAGGTCATCAGAACTCTCCGCAGCTCCCTTCTGGCCCTGGCGCTTCGCTTCGCGCTTCGCGAGGAGCGCCTCGTTGAGCTTCTTGCGCTCCGCATTGGGCTTCTGGTACACCTTGGCCGAGTTACCGCCAGCGCCAAAGTTGACAATCTCGCCGAGAAGAACGTTGAGGATGAGGAATCCGACGATGAGAGCGACGATGATGCCAAAGTTGCGCCACATGTCCCCCTTGAAGTACGAGAAGCCCTGCGCAATGTACTGGGAGCCATCGACAAGGGTGGTGCCGGGGGTCGAACCAGCGAGCGTGCAGACCTGGTGGTTGATGTCGTCGTACCCAGGGCCTGAGGGGATCAGCGACTCGGCAGAGCAAGTGAGGTCGATGCGGCTGAATTCGTTCTCCATCAGGGCGCCAAAGGCCAGGCCGAGGGCGTTGATCCAGTAGATCCAGCGGATCCACTCGGGGATGGACTGGTACTGGATGATGTAACCAGACGTCACGACGAAGAAGGTGATGAGGGTAACGGCAAACTTGATGGCGTAGTCGAAATCGGGGCTGATGCAGCCGAGAATACGGAAGAACAGCGTCATGGCGATGTTGCCAGAGAGAATCATCAGGTAGAAGGTGAAGAAAGCGCCAGCGTCACGCACGAGACCAGTCATGAAGTAGACGATGATCGAAAACACCATGATCTGACTTGCCGCAAATGCCTGGTCGACGATGATCTGGGCGATCCAAAGGGCCGAGGGGCGGTGGAAGGCGTAGGCCTTGTGCTTGTTGACAATGGCGCGACCGGTCATGGTGCCGGCCAATTCGGAGAAAGCCTGGAATGCGTTGAACAGGAGAGAGATGAAGATGAGGCCGCCCTTGCTGAAAGCACTGGCAGACGTGGCGCCGAGGTCGTAGAAGAGGGTACCGAGCACAATAGCGATGACGATGGAGCGGATCCAGGAGATGGTGAGCAGCAGGCGATCCTGCAGCTTCAAGAGGAACTGGCGCTTCATGAGGGCCCAGACCTGGAGGTGGAAACCGACGGCGTAGACGGAGCGCTTGGACGAACCACGCTTCGCCTCGGCAACGGCAACGCGGAAATTTTCGTGACGTTCCGTCTCTGCGGCAATGTTGGCCTTGAAGCGGTCGATGTCGCTGTTGACGAGCTTTTGGAAGTTGGACGCCTTGAAGGCCTCGACGAGCGTCTTGGGGTCGTGGGGCGCGTTCTCGGGCGAACGGCCGGGGGCGTATTCCCTCTCAAACTCGTCGGTGCAGCCAGTCAGGTAGTCGGGGGTCGTCTGACGAGGGCGGGGGTTGAAGCCCAGGCCCTCGAAGTAGCCGCGCGCTTCGGCGATGGGGCCGAAGAAGACCTGCTGTCCACCGTCGATGACCATGACCTTGTCGAAGAGGTTGTAAATGTTCTCCGAAGCCTGGTACAGCGAGACAAAGGTGCTCGTCTTGTAGAGGTTGGTCTGCACGCGCAGCGACTTGACAAAGTCCAGAGCGGTGGAGGCGTCCAGACCACGGGTGCTGTTGTCCCAGGACAGGACGCACGCGTTGGTGATCATCATCTCGGCGATGGAGACCCGCTTCCTCTCACCACCAGACACACCACGAACAAAGGCGTCACCGACGACTGTGTTTCGCGTGTGCTCAATGTTGAACATCTTGAGCAAGGTGGTGATGACAGCCTCCTTGTAGGCGTTCTTGGTCATGCCACCGGGGCGCTTGTTGGGCGCCTTGGTGTCGAGAGCGAAGCCGAGGGTCTGCTCGACGGTCAGCGTCGAGTGGTGGATGTCGTCCTCCTGGTTGTACACAGCCTCGCCACGGTACTGCTTAAACTCCTTGGCGGTGAAGGGACCGTAGCTGACATGGCCGGTCACGCCCGTGTAGCCGAAACGCTGGTTGGCGATGGTCTTGAGGAAGGTGGTGCAGCCTGAGCCGGGCTTGCCCAGGACGAGGACCATCTCGCCGGGCTCGCAGACGCCGCGGAAGTTGTCGAGCAGGGTCGCCTCGACGCCCTTCTTGCCCAAGCCGAGCAGGTTCATGACGGGGGTGACGTAGTCGAAGAAGTTGATGACGGCGTTGGGGAAGGTCTGGACGTAGTTGGTCGAGCCGCCGATGCCCTTGACGGTCAGGCCGTCCCAGATGACGCCGATGTGCTTGGGTCGAATGCCGGCCTCGCGCTCGGCGTCCAGACCGCCGCGCAGGGCACCCTCGAGGTCAAACTGCTCGTTCTCCGTGTCGGAGGAAGATGCCGCCTCCATGGCCTTTTCGGCGTCACCGTGCGACTTTCTGCGACTGTTCACACGGCTGGCTCGTGAGACGCCCGAGAGCTCGCGCTGGAGCTCAGCAAAGTCGGCTTCGGCCTGCTCGACGGAGATGCCGCGGTGGAGGTTGGCGAATCCATCGGGGTTCTGGCGACGAGCCTCCTCGCGGGCATTTTCCGGGTCGTTGGCGGTGGAGACGGATGACTTGTCGTCCTTGAGAGCGGACTTCTCATCGGGCATGGTGTTGGTGCCGGCAACAGCTTGCTCGGCGGCGCGAAGGTTCTGGCCGTCAACAGCAGCCTCTTCGGCCTTTTCGAAAGCCTTGTCGGCCATGGTGGTGATCGTGGTGTGAATACTCAAGATACGTAGTGTTGCGGGGGCGTCACGAGACGACTTGTGGTGATCGAGCCGCGTTCGAAGGACGGGCTGATCTGATTAGATGAACGGAAAGAGGAGGAAGTTTGCTGTGCAGCAGCAGGCGGACTAGGACGATGAATGAACAAATAGAGAAAGGATGGTGGTAGTCGTCTGTCGAGAAGACGAGAGTAGCGTCGTCGTGCGGTTTGTCGACACGCTTTGCTCTGCTCTCGTGATGGTGCTACAAACCCTCGACTACCAAGAAAAGGGAGGGAGGGGAGCAAAAGTCTTTGATAGACCAGGACAGGAAGGCGGAGGGGAGGGGGGAAAAAAAAAGGCAGGGACCCCCGAAATCTTTAAACGATGGGAAAGTGTCTACCTAGCTGCCTTGGCAGGACGGTCGGACTGGGCAGGCAGGACAGGGCGTGCGCTCTTCCCTCTTCCCAAACAATGGGAACGAAGCGATGATCTCCAGACCGTGGGAGTAGACAAGATTACCAATCCAGAACGGACTTGAGAGGTCATCCCCTGGAGCGTACGCCCGTGGGATCAGTCACGTCGCTTGGCTCTCTCAGTCCCCCGGGGCCACGAACTGGGGGGACGGGTGGGTTCAGTGCCTGTTGTAGCTTTCTAGCGTGGGCTTGATCAACCGTTTGAGCAGGCCGTCGCAGGCACCAGTGCTTGAACTGGCATCGGGTAGTGGGGGTGGGAGCGGGTCAGGGGGTCAGGGGGTCAGGGGGTCAACTCTGTGTGCCTGCAATTCTACCTGTACATTATGTACCCTCGTGTGCAGGCAGGCCATGTGCAGGCCATGCGATAGGGTTCAGATCTGGGTGCTGGCGGAACCGATGCGCGCATCGTCTGTGGTGTATCGAGCACTTGCCTGGTCGTTTTCGTAGTACCATCGCTCTACATGTACTTCTTTCGCTGTGAACTGCTTTGCACGGTCGAGTACACAGCATCGTACCGTCAGGCGAAAACCCATCGTCGGTAAAAACCCAGGCTTGGCACCAGCCTACTGTACCCTTCCTCGATGAACCCCCCCCCTGCCCCTCCCCCATCTCCCGATCACCCACTTTAGCGTAGCTGCACAGCATCGAGGTCGAGTCATCCGGCGGCGGAACGATGCCAGCTTTGGCACGCCGTGGTCCACGGTCGACGGCGGCCGCCGCCCCACCGCTGATGCCAAGACCATAACGCGGAATCTGGACCCCCTGTACATGGAACGTACTGTACGACCTGAGCACCCGCAAAACGTTGCCAGGCACTTTGGGGAGGTAGGCAAGGCAACTGGAGTGGACCAGGACCACTGCCAGGGCTGACTCCAGCAAGCAGCTGCAGAGCGGTTGCATGAGTAATGCGCAACGCATCCTGCGGTTCCAGCGAGTGTTGATCCCTCTGTCTCCCTGCGCCCCTACCGCCACGGAGCGACATGTTTCGCAGTCATTCTGAGTCATCCCCGCTACCACGTTTGTTTTCTTTTCTAGCCTCGAATTTTCTAGCCTGGAACATATCCCTTCATCAACCAATTGCTGATGGCACAAGGCGAGGATCGAGCGACAGACACGTGTACTGTTCATTCTGGCATCGGGATATCCTTGGAGGCAGACACACCAGACACCAGACGCGTTATGCCAACCTTATCTTGCAGACCCTTCACCGCCAAAGTCCGACTACCCATCTACATGTACATGATTCCACGGCTTCTCACCAAATGGTCCACGAAGCCTCAATGGCTCGTCGTCTCGTCATCTGCCGGTCCTCAAAGGCATGGCCCTGTCTTTTCCTCTGAACTCTGATGGAAAATCCCCGCTGCCAATGCACCCCAACATGAACATGCCACTCAGCATGCACAAAAACCATGCGGTGCGGTAGCTGGTATCGGCAAAGGCCCGGCCGAAGCGTCTCTTACCTCCGGATGCAACCCCAGATTGAACCCCCCTCCTCCCTCTCCCTCCTCCTCTCTCCTCACTCCTCCTTCCTCCCTCCTCAGCTGGCTAGCGGCGACCTGAGCCCCACCGCCTTCGCCCTGTTTCAGTCCAGAAGTCCTGGACGTCACGCTCCACTGTGAAAGTGAAAGAAAGCCTCGGAGGCATGAACCCACTGGAAGCAATCAAAACCCACCGGCGAGAAACCCACCCGGATGGGTGGTGGGCGGCCAATTTTCTTTTTTCTTGCATTTGGGTTTTTTTTCCCCTTTGGCAATCCCTACTCGTATTACTCCGCGCGATTCTCCGGCACCTATGAATGTCAACATACACACGCTCATTTTATTCGCGGGCCGTCTGCCGTGCCACACCCCAGAACAGGGGAGCCCCTTTGGCCAAAGACCCGTTATGGTTGCATCCTGTCCTCTTCCGGGCCTCGACGCAAGCACGGGATGACGATGGTGGCTGTCTGCGCGGAAGGAAGCCATAGCGTGCTGCTCGACGTCTGGTCCCCGAGCCATGGTCCCTGATGGAGACATGAGATAAGCGGGACACTGGCAGTCCCTTCGACTGACCTTTGTGGCATGCTGGGTCAAGGCCAAGATGAGAGAAATCGCAGTGGAGAAACAAATGTCTCCATCTGAGATTCGACACGAGCAATCACAAAAGCCATCCTTGGCAGTCCCATCGCCGGGCCTATCGGACGCCGCAGCATGCCGTGGAGTTCGGTTGGGAGGAATTCACCTAACCCACTGGCCAGGCGTGTCGTTTTGTCACCACGCACGCGCGGATGTCCCTACGAATCAGACCAGCTCTGTCTCACGAAAGACATGGCATCGCTGCCAAACGCCGTCACGGTCACTCCGGCTATTCTGTCTGCATGCGGCATGGTCGTCAGATCTCCTGCGACGAGACATCCGCCAGGGGTTCGGACAGGTGCAGCAGCAGCAGCGTGCGCTGTCTCGCGCTGCGTCGCACTCGGCCATCGCTGTTCCTCCCTGGTCATAGCGGCGCCGCGGCACTCCGTTGTCTTGGATGGTCCGTGGAGATGAGCGCGTTGCGACCCGAAATCGCCGAGCGGCAGGGAACAGTGTTGATCATGACAAGCTGAAATTAATGTTAAGCTTTGGCCAGGGCGTGCTTGAGTGCAAACGTGTTCGCTGTGCGATTGCATGCAACTCAAATCTGTTCGATATAGCCAGGAAGTACTAGTTGGTTAGTTGTCGAGGGATGTTCAAAGTACGTTTTGCCTATCATGATGATGCAAAGAATCCTTCGTGTCACTCTTGTGGCATGTCATTCGCTTTCTGGCCGATGCAAAATAGGGTAGGGAGACACTTGGCATGCAAAATCGCAGTCAGCGGAAATGCGTTATTCCTAAACATGCACCAGTGCTGCTGGTATTCAGTCTTCACCTCCTTCGCCCTGCTATTCTGATGCCACTGGTCATGAAATCGAGGTCATTTTTTGACGGGTTTCGCAACTCCCTTCTGCAGCGTGCCGTGCAGAGACCTCGCACAACGAGTTCAGAGCAGCCCCTTCTTCTTCTTCAGCTTCTTGTCCTTCTTGGGTTGGCCCCACGTTTCCCACAAGTCTCTTTCCGGCGCTGGCTCCGGCACGCACTCCGGAGGGGCGGGCTCCGACACTGGCTCGAGCGTCCACCCGGGCTCTTCTGCTGGCATCGCCTCCGCTTCCGGCGGTGCCTCGTGCGCTGGTTGATCAAACGCCCACCTCGCCGTTGTCGTGCAAGGCACGTTCACCACGGCAGGCTCGGCTTGGATCATCCATTCCGGCTCCGGCTCTGGCGCAGGTGGATCATCCAGAACACGCTCCGCTTCCGTAGGTCGCTGCTCGAGTTGGGGAGACCCATGCGCATAAGACGTCTTCTCCTCCCGAGGCTCCGGCTTCTCCAGTACGGGCTCCTCGCAAGACACAGCCGGCGTCGCCACGGCGGCGGCGCAGATCTGTATCATGCTCCGAACCAGGATCGTGGAAAACGCGTCAAGCGGCCCAAAGCACCGCAGCACCTCGTCCTCGCCGGGCGCGCGCGCGGCCTCCAGGACGCGACGCACGTGGGACGCCACGAAGCCGACGAGCCACGGATCCTCGCGCGCCAGCAGCCTGGCGCCTTCGCTGACGACGCGCAGCACCTGCGCCGGGCTCCCCAGGCCGTCGGCGAAGCGGGCGATCCGCGCCTTGGCGAGGTCGGCCAGCGCGGGAAGCCGGCACGCGAGCGCCGTCGTGTAGACGTAGACGGCGACCTCGAGGCTGCTCAGCCCCGTCGACTGCTTGAGGGTCTGGTAGGTGCCGGCGACGAGGTAGTGGATGAGCACGTGGCCGGCCGCGTCGGGCACGTTGGGCAGGTGGTAGTTTTGGTCGGCGCTGCTGTAAAACGCCTTGGCGCGGGCCTTTCGCCACAGGACCCGGGGGATGTGGAAGGGCAGGCCGCTGCGGAAGTGCACCTGGACCTGCGCGCCCATGTACGGACTCCCGGGAGGTCAGCTGGGGGTGGGCAGTGAGCGGGGAGAGGAGAAAAAGGGGGCAGTTTCGCCTACGATGTCACAGGCCCTGTGTCTTGGTCCATCGTCTGCGTGAGCTTGTGGGCGTCTGGGGTCAGGAGCGTTTCGGGCGGAGACGTGAGCTCGCGCTCCCGCGCCAGTTCGTCGCTGCTCACGTCTTTCGCCATGCTGTCTGGATGGCTGGGTTGGCGGTGCTGTGCGCTCGCATGCCCCGAGAGGATCACTGATGACCAGATGGTTTTATATCTGAACCAGAGGTGCAACACGTTGGGCATACGTGCAGCAGTGGCCAACATGACGCGTGCCGATGGCTTGACCCTTTGCTACATCACCATTCAACTAAGGCGTACTGTAGCATAGACATAGGCCAGAGGGTGGCCGCAGGTTGGTCGATCAGGCTGGCCAAATAGACATTGACAACAATGCCTGCATCCACAGCCTGGCACACCAACTGCGGACCTCGCCTATCGCAGGCGTCGAGACTGGACAATCACCACTGTCCGGATGCCCGACGGCCACGGCCCGCAGACTCACTACTGCATGCTGCTGTCTTGAAGCCTCATTTCATCTTCTGCTAGAAGTGATGATTGGCGCTTCCTAAAAGCTGTTGGCATGAGCCGTGTACTTGTGGTGTCATGATGCACTGTTCATAGGTCCCGGCGTCACGGCAGCGAATCATCAGGACAGCCCCGCAGAGAGGCTGCAGGGAAGAGACGAGTCAATTGGCCTGTTGGTTCTGTCGATGCAGTGTTCATGTTGATGATGTGACATGCAGGTTGGTGGTTTTCGCGGGGCATTGGGCAGGGAAGCGCTTGCTGTGCCTGCCACAGAGTATCGTCACAAAGACCGCCCGCCAGCGTTGCAAGTCGTCCTCCGGCGCGGGGCCGGCATCATCGTCCGGGACACGGCAGTTTGCCCCGCAAGATATGGAGAATGAAACCGGCGCAGCTTGGATGGGATTGCCGATCTGTTCATGCCGATAGGCCGGGACTCGATGTTGTCAACGGGTAGGTGTACAATAGCAAGCACGCCTGCTAGAGGGTTCTGATCACAGAGGTCATGACATGAGGACAACAAAGTGATGCGGGACGAGGTGCCGTGACCAGTCAATGGTAGAAGCGGACCGGAATCTGCAAGGGAACAGAGGCATCCCTGGCCAAAGCGTCGCATGACCAGCCCGAGACCATCGAGCCTCCCTCCGGAACGGCCGAGTCGAACGATGTTCTCCGTAGTGGCGTGTCGTGTCCGGCGAGATTGTAAATAGGCGAGCGTTCATTGGCTGGATATGGTCAGCAGCCAATCAGCATGCGTTTGATGACAGACGCACAAAGGTCAGCGAGCCTTCGCTGTGACACTTGTGACGTCTTCATCCATTGACGCTTGATGGTATATAACCTTCAAGCCGGCAACACTGAGCACGGCATTTCATCACTCTCATTCAGCAGTCATCACTCAGTTCAACCATCACTCAATTCAACCATCTGACCAACTCACTCTCCACCCACCACAACCACAACCATCACCATAACCACACTACAACCCACATTACAACCCACCATAACCACAATGGCCATTGACAAGTCCTCCACCTGCTGCGGCAAGTCCGCCTCTTGCGTCTGCGGTAAGCTCACCACCATGCCCCCCTCTCACGCCACATACTGATCCCTGCCTCCAGCCCAGCAAGCCAAGTGCTCCTGCGGCAAGCAGTCGGCCCTGCACTGCACGTGCGACAAGTCGGCCTCGGAGAACGCCATCTCGGGCGCCCGCTGCTCGTGCCGCGCCCGCCCCGCCGGCGGCTGCAACTGCGACCGCGCCAGCACCGAGAACGCCAACCCCGCCGGCGAGACGTGCAGCTGCGGCCGTCGCTCCGCCGACGCGTGCACCTGCGAGAAGGCCGCCGACGGCACGTGGGACCCTTCGGAGCACGAGATTGACTTCACCACGAAGCGGTAGATTGTCTTCCCGTCTCGAGGGGTGTTGGGATGGATCGTGGGCTTGGGCTTCATGGAGTTTGGGTGCGGTGCAAGACAAACGCCTGGGTTAGGGTTACTCAGGTATCATCCATTGGCGTTTTGGGTTTTTCTTGGGGGGGGTCATTGGAGCGGCCGGGAGAGCTGCGATAGATACCACTGGACCGAAAATGATACTTCTTGTTCGACTGAAACGTGAGCCTCAATTTGTGACTTCGTGGTGGTCTTTTACTTCATTTCCATCGCGCCAAACTTCACTGAGACATGGCACACCTGCCTATACGATTTGCCAGTTGATAGACACTGCAGCCGACGAGCAATAGCTCGCGTCACAATTCAAATGTGAAAATGAACCATAAGGTCACATCGAAAGCAGAACAATTGCGCCATACTTGACGTACAGCAGACCGTGTTGCGGCACCCGAATAGTGACCGCTAAAGTGCAGCTGGCCTATACACACTGTGAAGGCTGCAGGCCAGTCGGAACGTTTCCAGCCCTTTGTCGGAACGGGAAGGAGGCTATGTCCAAGAGCTCGCGATACGCCTCCGAAAAACTTCACACGCACCCCTCACCTCACTGCTCCTCACCCCCATCCCACGGCAACCTCCCACGGCAACCTCCCACGGCAACCTCCCACGACAGCGTCTCCTCACGCCACCGCCATGCCGTCTCCCTCCGCTCGACGTCCCGCCGGCCGCGCCGCCCCGCGCCCCGCGCCCGTGGACACATTCTCCCAGGGCACCCTCGTCGCGTCCCTCCTCATCAGCACCGTCGCCTACGCCGTCATCGCCGGCGTGGCCTACGGCGACTTCGACACCCTCGTCGCCGGCAACGAGTCGCTCATCCTCGTCGTCCCCATCGCCCTGACGCTGCAGATCATGGGCCTCCTCATCGGCAGCCAGGAGATCAGCGCGGCGTGGCCGGGCCGCCTGGGCCCCGTCTTCGCGGCCGGCGCCGCCGCCTTGGGCGCCACGGGCGTCTACGTCCTCGCGCAGAGCCTGCCGCGCGACTACTACATGCTGGCGCTGCTCAACGGGTCCTTCTACGCCGGCATGCTGGCCGAGGCGGTGACCGGGGTGACGGGCACGCTCATGGGAGGCGATGGCGCCAAGGCCCCGCGGAAGCAGGACTGATCTGTGTGCCGAATCGTTGTGTGTGGGGGGGTCGCTCGAGTATTGGCCGTGGCAGAGGCGAGGCGGTCACGACTCGGTGCATGTCTTTCAGGATCGCAGACCATAACCGAGCAACTCAATGTGGAACACGTGGATGAATCGTTGCTCGTTGCTCATTGCTCGTTGCGGTCCCTCTCTTCCGTTTGACTGATTGTTTAAAAAAATTCCCTCGACCATTTCACCAACTCCTGTGCATGGTAGTGACGGGTCCTTGCAGCACCGAGCACCCAATCTGCAGCGTGCCCGGTGCTGCCGTCATGCCCGAGACGATTGTCAGGTCTGCTGTGTGCGAATTGTGACGCTGAGGAGCCCCCCGGTGTGCGATGTAGACCGAGGCCACCGATTTCACCGATCTCACCATGTCCCAAATACATCAGCGGAGCCCTCGTCAACCCAATGAATCGCTGCGCTTCACGCCTCTTTCGAACCAATGGCACGAGCTCCCCCTGTAGGCAGCTGTACGCCCAGACCCGATACGGACTAGAGCCGTGTCTGAATTTCTAAGCTTGGGAGGCAAGCTCCGTCACGACGCAACGAAGCTTCCGTTTTGCTGCAGCTGCACCTGGTCTATTATTTCCCGGCTCATTCGCGCATCGCACGACATTTTTCTTCGCACAACCACCTTCCGGCTCCCCGCTCCCTTGCCATCCGTCAGTCTGCGACGTCTTGTTGTGTTCGATTTCTTCTCATCAAGCGCTTCTTCTGCTCTTGTCGACGCAGTTCTTTGTGTGTGCTCGGCATCTTCCCCCTTCCCCTGCAGCGTTCGGATTCCATTGTGCTTCCCATCGCAAACCTTTGTTCCTCGACGAATCTCCCGCGCCTCTTGGCACCATATTGGACTCGCAGAAGATTACTCCTGGGTGCCTGCTTTGTCTCGATTACCTTGAGCGACGTCTTGCTCATCGCCCTCTTCATCCTCTGCAGATCTCCATCGAACTGTCGTTGCGCTGGATTCCTGACCGATACTCCCCAGCCTTTCCTACGCGTCGCGCGCTGCATATTTGATCGCCACGTCCAAAACCACACCCATACCCACCCACATCCCCCCCCGAGTCCCCCGAGCAGATCGCTCGACCGACTTGATTACACGTCTCGACACGACTCGAACAAGTTTTTCCCTGCTGGCTACGGACCGCGCCATTCGCACGGAGTAAGGACCTGTGTTGCATCTCGCTTCCTCGCAAAACAACGCCACAACCGCACCTGCCTCACGCGTCTCTTCAACACAACTCGTCCGGCGCCTCTCTCCCTTCCAACCCTCACACCCACCACTCCATCATACATCACAATGGCTCCCAAGGGAACGACCAAGGCCGCGGCGCCCAAGAAGGCCGCTGCTGCCACCGCCAAGTCTGCCCCCAAGGCGACGACAACCAAGAAGGCTGCCGCCGCCGCCGCCGCGCCCAAGCCCGCCGTCAACGGCACATCGGCCGCGTCCAAGAAGCGCAAGGCTGACGACGACGAGCCCACCGATGGCGAGTCCAGCGAGGACGTGCCCAAGACGAAGAAGGCCAAGACGACCAAGGAGCCCGTCAAGAAGGTGGCTGCCGTCAAGAAGACGACCGCCACAACCACCAAGGCCAAGGCTGCTGCTGTTCCTGCTCCTGCCAAGAAGGCGGCTGCTGCTCCTGTTGCCAAAAAGGGCGCGAAGAAGGCTGCGACACCCAAGAGTGATGTCGAGAGCGCTTCCGAGTCGGAGCCCGAGAAGGAGGCTCCTAAGAAGGCTGAGCCCAAGAAGGCCGCCGCCGCCACCAAGAAGGCCGAGCCCAAGAAGGCCGCACCCAAGAAGGCCGCACCCAAGAAGGCCGCCGTCACAAAGGCCGCGCCCAAGGCTGCGAGCAAGCGCAAGGCCACCGAGGAGCCGACCGATGACGAGTCTGACAGCAAGAAGACCAGGAATGCCGTCAAGCCCAAGAAGGAGGCCAAGCCCAAGGCCCAGCCCAAGCCTGCCGCGCCCCCCAAGCACCCCCACACTGTCGGCCGCAAGATCAACGATGCCCCTACGACCCTGCTCGACGTGTACGTCTTTGGCGAGGGCTCTTCCGGTGAGCTCGGCCTCGGCAGCAAGAAGCACGACGGCAAGAAGCCCATCGACGTGAAGCGTCCTCGCATCAACCATAACCTCGCCCGCACGCCCGTCGGCGTTGTCCAGATTGCCTGCGGTGGCATGCACGTTGCGGCCCTGACCCACGACAACAAGATTCTCACCTGGGGTGTCAACGACCAGGGCGCCCTCGGACGCGACACCAACTGGGACGGCGGCCTCCGTGATGCTGACCAGGCTAGCGACTCTGGGTCGGACGACGAGGACGATGATTCGGGTGTCAACCCCCGCGAGTCTACCCCCACCGCTGTGCCTGCCGAGCATTTTGCCCCCGATGCCAAGTTCGTCCAGGTCGTCGCCAGCGACAGCGCCACCTTTGCTCTGACCGAAGACGGTCGCGTCTATGGATGGGGTACCTTCCGCGTAAGTTCCGGATCTGTCCGTATAATGGTAACTTCGACTAACAACGAGAAAAACAGTCCAGCGACGGTATCCTCGGCTTCAACCACGACATCAAGATCCAGATGACACCGCTGTACATCCCCGAGCTCAAGTCGATCAAGGCTCTCGCCGCCGGGTCCAACCATATCCTCGCCCTGGAGAACAAGGGCAACGTCCTCGCCTGGGGCTGTGGCCAGCAGAACCAGCTCGGCCGCCGCATCATCGAGCGCAACAAGATGTCCTCCCTCGTGCCCCAGGGCATGGGCATCCCCAAGAAGAACATTGAGAAGATTGCCTGCGGACAGTACCACAGCTTCGCCCTCGACACCAAGGGCCGCGTCTACGCCTGGGGTCTCAACAACTTCGCCGAGACGGGCATCCGCGAGGGCGCCGGCGAGGATGACGCCGTCATCCTGCGTCCCACGATTGTCGACTCTCTTGAGGAGCACAAGATTGTGGACATTGCTGGTGGTCAGCACCACTCCCTGGCCTGCACCGAAGACGGCAAGCTCCTGACGTGGGGCCGCTTCGACGGCTTCCAGGTTGGTTTCGCCGAGAGCGCCGTGTCCGAGGACGACCTCATCCGCGACGAGAGCAACAATGCTCGCATTCTGGCCGTGCCCACTGTCGTTCCTTGTAAGTTTTGCTTGCCCTTTTCGCGCGTCTTCTTGCCACACATGCTAACGATGCGCAGCCCCTGAGGGAGTCGTCCGCGTCGCCGCCGGCACCGACAACAACTTTGCTATCACCAAGGACGGCAAGGCCTACTCGTGGGGTTTCTCGTCCAACTACCAGACGGGCCAGGGCACCATTGAAGATGTTGAGGCGCCCACGCTCATCGACAACACGGCCGTCCGCGGACAGAAGCTCGTGTCTGCCGGCGCGGGTGGCCAGTTTTCCATCCTGTGCGGTGTGCCAGCCGAGTCTTCGTAATGGACCTACCCGCGGGCAATCTTGAACGGGGCAAGGCGGCCTTGTGGCCGTGGAAGACGAGACACCACCCCTCAGCGGTCATTGCGGGCTCGCGAGGAGCTTCACGTGGATGCGACGATGTACGAGGGATGGAAGATGAAAACCCAAGGCATGTCAGCCCTGGGATGAAATGGGGGGTTTATTCGAAAATCTGTACATTGTGTTTTTTTTTTGGGAACTTCGCGCTGCTGCCGTTCACCCAGGGCACCATTTTTGAGCGGCAGCGGCTCTGTGTCGGGACGGCACCTCACGTCTGGGCGGCATTTTGTGTTTATAATCTTAGAGTATTTCAACCGCCTCACCTGTTTCGATACGTCTTTGCTGCATGCCTGGCGCCACATCTATTGATGCGACTTGATGCTTCGGATTTGCACATCACAGTATCATCTGGATTGGAAACCAGACACTGCTTGCCACTGTCGGCCGGGAACCGTGTAGACTATGGCGCCGCTGTAATTCAGTATGATTTCCGCATCAAGCATGACGGCCTATGATATACATCCCATGACAGTAGCAGCATCCACCACGCATCGCCATGCGGCCAGGTACGCCATTTCCCACGCCAAAGCCCGGCGACCAAGTTCGTGTCCCCCTTTTTGTGTCTGCACAGCTGCTGCGCCTATCCCGCCTCGCGCGTCTGCCTCTCGTTCCCGGGCGAAAAAAAAAGAGAACGGCCAACTGCCCCTCCAGCCCAGCCGCCGAAAGAAAAGAACAGCCCTACGCCTTCAGCCCAGCCGCCGCCGCAGCAAGGGTGCTCCCCCGCGAGCTGAAGACGCCCATGATGCCGAAGCCGACGTAGAAGAGGGCGAGCGGGTAGGCGATGAGGAGGCGCATGCTCATCATGCGGCCGATGGCGACGAACATGCCGGACGCGGCGTAGGTGCACCACAGGATGGCGGCGCTCGTGATGACGATGCCGAGCGGCGTGTCCATGGGCATGAGGATGCCGAGCAGGCTCGTGGCGACGAGGGGCAGGAGGCAGTAGCCGAGGATGGAGCTCGAGCGCGCAAAGGTCAGCGTCGTCGAGAAGTGGCCCGGCTTGCCGGGGCCGCTGCCGCCGCCGCCGCCGCTGATGCCGATGCCCGGGGCGGCACCGCCGGGCACGACGCCGACGCCGCTGCCGCCGGGGTATTGCGCGGCCGAGGGGTGGGTGTGCGAGTCGGCTTCGTGGGGGCCCAGCTCGGTGGGCGTCATGAGGGAGAGGATGAGGTGCAGCGAGACGGAGCCGAGGGCGGCGAGGCCGTAGATGAAGCCAAAGTGGATCTTGCCGGAGAAGAGCAGGAAGGTGCCGAACAGGAAGAAGGCGAGGATGGGGCCTGCGAGGTCCGAGTCGTCCATGATGTGCTGGTCGATGCGGCGGAAGGGGTTGAGGACGGCGAGGGTCTGGGAGGGGGGAGTGTTAGCAAGGTCTGGCGAGATAGGTCTGGCGAGATACAGAGAGAGAGAGAGAGAGAGAGAGAGAGAGAAGGGGGGGGGGGGGGGGGGAACTGCCCTCAACTTTTTTTTTTTCTTGCGCCCCTCGTTTTTTTTTTTTGGCCAGGCGACGCTAAAGGCAAGGGCACGACCCCACTCTTTTCGGAGGGGTGTGGACCCGTGGGCGACACAGGCTGCACCACACTGGAGGGGGAGGGGCAGAGCGAGAAAATTTCAGTAGTAGCAGGTAGCAACAGCAACAGCGGCAGTAACGCCCTGATGTGCCAGTCCGCTGCTTCTCTGCCTGCACAACAGCCAAACCCCGCCGCCCCTTCTCCCGGCCCAGCGACCCAATGGCCCAATGACCCTTGGCCGAATCACGCTTATCGGCGTTATCGTGAGACGCTAGTCTGCTTGAGGCTTCTTGAACAAGGCGGTGAGAGCCGTTTGGATGTTGTTCCTGCACGAAATTTCCAAGGCGTTTGGCCATTTTTTCCCACCAGCCTGTGGCCCTCGCCAACAGGCTTGCCTCTCTCTCGGCCTTGCACCTCCACATGCCTTTCGATCAAGCAAGCGAGCGTGTCCTGGGATTGGGATGCAGCAAGGACCGAAGTCGAGAGCCGGACACCGTTGGCTACCCAACACCGAAACGGGGCCATTCCTCCGGGGATCTCTGGAAGCGCGCAACCAGGCTTGCAGGTTTTCCGATGCATGAGCATTCTACTCTGCTGCCCCTCCCGCGCAGCGCCTCTCTAGCCCCCAGGTCCCCCCCTCCAGGCCCCGCCGAGTGCCCCTCCAAGGTTTCGCTTCAGCCCTTCAAACCTCGAGAGCGCCATCCAAACGGAGCGTGTACTGTCCAACCGCCTGCGATCTTCGCTGCAGGACCCTGCGGTTCATGTCAATCTCTGGATTGAGTATCATGCGAGCGCCTCGACTGGCATCACAATGGTCTACAGTTCTATTGTTTCTGTCGTGAAGAAACCATTCGGTGCGCCGAAAATGGATCTGCCAAAAGATCACCCCAGCATCGTGCTTCGGTTGTCGAGACACTGAAGCCTTTTATATAGTGTTCCACACAGAACCACATGCCTTCGAGCCATGTCAGCGTCGTGAGACTGCAACACACACACACACACTCCCCTGCTCCAACCTGTGACCGAATACATGACCCATTCCATCCCTGTCAACTGGGCAAGCTGGGGAAGCCACGCCACAAGCTCAAATGGCTCTGAATTGACAGCAGCCTTCTGGCAGGTGCGCGATGAGGCGGGCGCGTCGGCCGAAACGCCAGGGACAAATAAGGGCCACCTGGCTCGTGTCAACGATTCAGTATCGGCTTCGCCACCTCCGATGGAGTGGTTGACGTCAAGTGCCCGTCTGACTCCCGTACAGTACTTTGCGGTATCCAGGCTAGAACGCGAATCATCGGCACGGTCTTCTAGCTCGTCTGTGCTTTGTAGGTACTGTGTAGCTCTGCGCTCCTCGGGCAAGGGCTGTCGCCACGGCAAAAAGGCCTAGTCTCGAGTCGAAGCTCGTTGAACATTCCGGACCACTCGGATCTTCTTTTTTTGCCACGGGCCTTCCGACGGCCCTGATTCGAGCCTAGACCTTTGTAGCTTGAGCGCAGTACATCTCCCCAAAGCTGCGAGCATGCTATTCTTTGGGGTGTTTCTCGAACATTTGCCCATTTTCCCGCCCAGATTGAGAGATCTACGTCGAGAAGTACGGCTCGCCTCTGGGCGGTGTTGCTGCAATGACACCCACTCTCTCACCTCACAGCCCAGCTGTCAGCCACGTTATCAGATGTTCACCGCTTGTCTCATCTGGCTCTGTTCGTTCTCCTCTGGACTTGAAGTCAGCTGTGCTACGCGTGTACTCGAGAGCTGATGACCATGGTGCTTGTAAGCAGCTCGGCCTGGCGGGCAATGCGCTCACCCCACCTCCAGCAAGGCGAGATATCGATAAGAATTCTTCTTATCCCCCGCCATCGACAACTGCATGCCCTCGAGGAAGTGGCGTACAGTGTGCCTCGGTGTCTGATCACGGCTCAGGTACCTTGTAGTGCAATGTCATCGGCAATAGCTCGGTAATCGTGGTGGACCCACACGACCTGAAAGAGAAGCCTAAGCCTTTCTTTGACGTCGCGATCCTAGGAAGCTCGCAGCGCCGACCTCTCCATTCTGTACCAGGCGTCAGCTTGCCCTGACACGTGCGATGTCCCCAGGCCCATACAACTCGACTCCTGCTTCTTCGAGTACATACCGAACTACTATCCTTGTCCCGAAGACACAACCGATGTCGGCCGACCGTAGGGCCTTCTCTCTTGGATGCATATTCGCAGGGTCGAGGGCCGAACAGATGCTGCTGTCGAGACTGTGAATCTCTTCTTCAGATCGGAAGAATGGCGATAAGGGCTGGGGACACGATATACTTGCCGCACACGACGATCACTGCGGTTACCAGATCGTCGGGTCGACGGCCAAGCACAGCGCAAGTGCGTTGATGCCCAGGCTGCCTCCAAGTCAGTCTTGAAATTCAATTGGGTGTAACTGAACTGGATCTGTCCTTCTCATATGTGATCGGCAGATATTTTGTTGTGAGGAGGAAATACCTCTATGCTTAGCCTTGCACTTCGAGCTGTTGCTTTCAGCCTGGGGTTATAGTGAAGCAGCCAGCGGCACTGCTAGTCAAACATCCCGCGATGCCCCTAGTCACACTCTCAAACCTTTGTCGAAAAGAATGATCTACGAGCTCCTTGGGCACCTAAACCTGAGCCGGCGCACCGAAGTCCTCCTCATCTACTCGTGGTACTCGTACAGTTCATACAAAAGTGTTGTTGGCTAAGATCGTACAATATGAACATGCCTTGATGATCAAGTCTGCGATGAAATCGACCTGGATCCCACATTCGTGTTCAGCAAGTTTGACCTGGAGCCAACGGATCTCATAATACAGAACAATGATGTGCAGTTAAAAATTGACGACTAGTGCCTGGATCAGGCCGCCTTAGAAGCGAAGTGTATTCATATCGAGAATGTACCTGTTTGAATAGCTTTGATGATGCACCCGGTTGCTCATGACGCTGAATTTATGGAGGGCCGACGGGAGGCGCAAGATATGGTGCTCAAGGCCCCACTGCTTCGATGCAACAACTGACTTACACCGCTGCGATCCGAATTTCACAGGGAAATTCGTTCTCCAGCGAAATCTTCTGGGTTTCCGAGGTCGTCAAGTATGGATCAGACGCTCTTTACTTGAGAGCTTACGTTATAGCCCTGCGCCTGAACACAGGTGGGGGAGAGGACCACCCTTGTATGCAAAAGACGGTGTCCGAAGAAGATCAGAGTCGCCGTCACTCTATATTTTCTAAGAGGTCCATCAGTGGACGTACAGAACTCCCCAGGCATTTCGTGGATCTTATACTGACCTTTTGGTTTCCGGCTGCGGCCTCGCTCGAGACGTGCTCGGCTTGCTACGCCACATCAAACTGACCATCCTTAACGAGATGCTGAAGCCCCAAATTGAGGATTTTGAGGATTTTCAACTTCCGATTGGCTGCTGATCCTTCATTAATCCGGAGGAAGTTGGGGCGACCTAGTTTTGCATGTTCGGGTCTGAGGAAGCTCGTTACGATTTATGCTTTCATCTGCTCCAGGCCAACAAGATCCGGATCACGCCGCTGAACAACGCATGACCTTCCTGCAATCTTGCGGTCACGAAGGTTGGCAGGATCATTCTCGTAATTGGCCAACCTCAAGTAGAACTCTTTGCCCGTCCACAGAGCTTGACTGGAAACACGCTGACCTGGAAATGATGAATTCTAGGCGAGATCAGGACAACAGCTTCATCAACAATGGCACGCGACATGACTATCGTGCAGCGGCGTTTATAACCCCACAGAGGAACAGGCAGAAGATAAAGAATTGACAAAGAACCGGCCTGAGGAAGATCTGAGACCTCGGTGGCTTGGGTGGACTTGCAGCCGTTTTTGGTTGGAATGTCTTGAGGCAACGTCCACATTTCCCACCCCTTGTACTCATGCGTTCGGTGTGGAGCAAAGAAGGATTGAAAATCAAGTTGCAAGTTTCATGACGGATTAGGATGTCATCATCATGGTTATTCACTGACGTTATCTCCCCTACCTACTCCACGAGTTATGTCGCACATTCACACCTTCCAGCATGTGTCCTCGATATGGTCTTAGCTTACATAAAAAAAAAAGTAAGTTTGAACTTCTTAATGGTAGGGCAACTTAAAGGTATGCCAACATTGAAAAGGTGCGGAAAATGCGAGCATCCTAAAGCCAGCGTACAGGAACACACCCTAATCCAATAGGGGGTAGAACGAGGACAAGCCCGATCCGGAGGCCGAACCCAAAACTTGACTAGACCCAGTCACCTGGGTGGCGCCTTTCTACAAATAGACTCGCAAGCCCAAATACTATGTTCACCAATGCAGGCTCAGCTGGAAAAAGCAATGGCTTGATGTCCCCACGGTATGGATGCTCTTCCTTGATCCTAGCACAGGCCATGCAAAACATCAACATCAAACACCGGAGACCACGCATCAACTGAGACAATCCAGGAGCGCTAGAGCTCAACGAACGCTTCGATTTGCGAATCTTGTGGGACAGTGATGGCAGGTCATCACATGCTTATACGGGTGTGACAGTGCTAAGTACACGTACGAGAAGCTTATTCTTGCCTCTTTGCTTATCAGGGACGTTTTTGACGAACGTGACACAGGCAGATCAAAGTACTTAAGTTCACGATGTCAACCTTGGTGTCGTTGCGAGAGGATGACAGCCTCATGCGGCAAGAGAGCACCGATATTCCAGTTGGCACAAAGACAATTACGAGCCATCAGAAGAATACAAACCCCGGGGTTTCAATTTACGCAATGGTCCCATTATGGCCGAACCCAACTCCACCACTTAAACGGCCGTACCAATTTCGAGTGGTAAAAGAATTCAATGACCTCAACCGACTTGAAAACGATAAGAATGACAAGAACGTCATCACCCTGAGTCACAAGTATATCAGCCCGACACCAACAATACACACAGATGACACACCGGAAGACATCCTTACACGGCTCATCATGGAACATGGTGGCCCTATCAACTGCAAGCTTTTATACATAACGCGTCATGGCCAATCGAAGCACAATGTCGACGCCCTGGAAGCGGGCGGGGACCAATACTCTGCCGTCTGCGCGCATTTTGCTCAGGATCGAGATCCAGCTCTCACAAATAGCGGCGAGCAAGATGCGGCAAAGGCAGGGGACCTGATATCCACCTCCGAGGCTGCCAAGTACGCTGTGCCTTCTGTGGTGTACTGCAGTACTTTAAAGAGGACGTTGCAGACCGCCGTGATTTGTGCGGCCAGATATGTTCCCGCGAATATGCCGTTGACGCTCTTCCCTCGTGATGGCCTCCGCGAGTTCATGGGCCCAGGACACCTCCATGTGTCGGACGGACGAGGCAACAAAAGTGACATACTCGAGACACTTTCGGAATTAAGAATATTCAAGCAACTGTCTGTGGAGCTCGAGGAAGACCTGCCAGACGAAGATGATGCTTTCCGCACTGCGGAGACCTACATAAATGTCGACATTCGGATCGAACATGAACTTGCCAAGATCTTCGATGATACTACCAACAGGTCGTCTCGAGCGGTCCACATCGTCTCGCACAACAGGGCGATACAGTCCATTCTGCGTTGTTTGGGATACTCCACGAACCAAAGCAACTACCGCATCTTCGACTTTGACAACGCTGCGACGATCGCACTGCTCGTCAGTCGAACACCGCGAACCGAAAGGCAACAAGAGGACTTACAAGCATCTGATGAAGCCCTCCAGAGAGAAGAAAGTGCCCAAATAGATGAGTCATATTGCGCAGACATTAATTCTGGCTTTGAAAAGATTCAAAAGGACTGCATGGAAGGGAGGTCGGACAAGTGGCAGCCGTGGCTGAAGAAGCTCGAGGAGGAGCTGGCAAACGGCTCGTCAGGCGATGTTATTGAGTGGAGGTTTGAATTGCTGAAGAAGGCCATGTCGGGAGAGTTTAAGTGCGGGGAATTTGCGACGCAGAAGGCAGTCGGAGCCTTTCAGTAGTCCTGGTGTCTTTCTAAGATTTGATCATGCCTGATGGCCAAGCATAAGACCATCAGGTCTTTAACTCCATGGGCGATGCCAACTCTAGATGACCTTTCAAAATAACTTTGATCCCTTGCACATTCAATGAATGTGACATGCCTGTCAAAAGAACAGCCGAGGGATAGATTGGGCTTACAGCGTCTGTCTGAGCTGCCGTGGCTACCAATTCATAGTCAACAATTTCAGTTTTGTACAGATTAATACGCAAGAGCCTGTTAGCGAGGTGCTGAAGATAAGCTTGCTTCAGGTTGATGTACGGTTGCAATGTCAGAGATTCCTGTGAGTACAGCAAGCTTCCAACAGCCATCTGTAAGCCAGGTCGACAATGCGTGAAGGCAAACTATGTTGATCTCATAGGTGGTCGCTGTCAAGGTGTCTATGAGCTCTTAGCACTCTACATGCCAAGACGTATGTCCAAGCAAGTGATTTGGGCCAGCGGTCTGTGTGGCATCACTAGCTAGCATGCAAATATGAGGTTTTGTGGTAGATGTTGTGTGCAAGAGAACTTCTGTGAAGCACATATCGATCTACAGGGTAGCAAGAAACATTCTCCATTGCGGTGAAGTGTTAAGGTGGGTTCGGGCATCGCTTGCTTTGTGTAACAACAACCATTGTCCAGAAGTTGCACGTTCGTGACCCTGCGATTGGATCGAAGTAATTTGTCTTCCTTTGATCGTTAGTGATGCCACGTGGCTCACAATTGAGATTGACTGCACGGATGAGATCAAGAACCCGAAGGCTCATCAACGTGGCCTCAAACTTAAACTCCCGACTCCTTGCTACTGGTGCATCCATCAGCATCCCGTATACCGTGCCGTAACCAAACGACCGGAAGCCATTTTCATATTGGCATTGCTAAAGAAACGGAAGTCAAGCCTAAGGGCCTGTAGGGCCACTCTTGGGAACACTAGGTAGCTCAGCGGCAACTGCTTCAGCTTCCCTGGCTTCCTCCGCTTCTGCTGTGTTAACTTTGACGTCAGGTTGCTCTGGAGGAAAGTATTTACTGAGAATGAATCTGTCAGCGGACCGGAATCCTCCTTCTGGGAACCACTCACGGGAGCGCCTTGTCGTAGGCATGGACGTCCTTCAACTCGAAGGTACAGAAGATAATTTGGCTCAGCTTGGTTCCATCGGGACCCTCAAGAAATCTCCGAGTGACCTCGACAGCCGTATGCGCAGCTTCTTGGCTGGGATAGCCGTAGACGCCGGTACTGACGGAGCTGAAGGCGATGCTGCGGCAGCCGTTCTCCACTGCTAGGGCCAGGCTCGACTCGTAGCACCCTCGCAGGTGTTTCTCCGCCGCAGCTGGACCCTCAATGTTATAGATGGGACCGACGGTATGGATGACCTTCTTGCAGGGCAGCTCGTAAGCGTCGGTGATCTTGGCCTTGCCCGTATCACAGCCGTCAAGGGTGCGACATTCAGCCAAGAGCTGGGGGCCGGCGCCGCGGTGAATGGCGCCGTCGACACCGCCGCCGCCAAGGAGGGAACCGTTGGCGGCGTTGACGATGGCATCGACGGAAAGCTGGGTGATGTCGCCACGGATAGAGCCGACGATGCGGTTGTATGATTCATTGGCGGGGCGCAAGGGCTTCTTGGGCGCCTTCAGGCTGCCAAGCTTGTAGAGCAGGGCGACGGAGGGGATGTCGGAAGCCATGTTCGCAATCGAGCGCGCTTTCATGTGTGAGCTGGAGGTTTATCTTCGGTCGAATCAAGTTCGGTAGTTGGAGAAGGGAAGCTGCTGCAAAGATGCAGAAAAGCTGTGGCGACCGGGAAGGCAGCAGTCCTTCGAGGCTGGTATGACCATGACGAAATGCCAACCAGGGGAGCTTCAGCACTGGCTTTGGTGTGGGCGGGGCCATGATCCTATAGGCGGCAGGTGCTGTGAAGCACATCCTACCTCCCAAGGTCCTCGTTCAAGATTTGCGCCCCCCATCAATCGGGAGCAATTTTGGAAAGCTTCCAAAAGAAAGGAAAACCTTTCTATCGAGATCACTCGCTCAACTCGAAGCTGCGGTACAAGTGGCTGGACGGCACTATGGGTCGACGAGCTCTGAGCTGGTCTCTCAGAGTTGGGCTTATCTAATCTTCAAGCCCAGTCCTTATCGCGACCCCTCGTCAATCAGCCTCAGTTATCGTGACTCAATTTGTGCCCCGCGCTTCGTTGAACCTGCCATTGTTCACCCAACATTGTGAACCCGAATTGAGCTTGACGCAGACAGCGAAGCATACCGATACCACAATACACATACCCGCGACCAACTAGAAGATCATTCTGACTTCGACATCATCATGGCGGACGCTATCACCGAATCGACGGCGAAGCTCCAGCTCGATGAGGAGACAGGCGAGATGGTCAGCAAGGGCGAGCTGAAGAAGCGCCAGGCCAAGCGCGCAAAGAAGGCCGCCGCCGCGAAGGCAAAGGAAGCGAAAGCAGCTGTTGCCTCTGCGGCTGGCGTTGACAAGAAGGAAGCCCCCAAGCCTGCGAAAAAGGAGGAAGAGGCTGTCATCGACCCCGAGGCCATTTTCAAGCAGGGCTTCCTAGAGGAGGTCTACAAGGAGCGTCCCGTGAAGCCCGTCGTTACGCGATTCCCTCCTGAACCCAACGGATTCCTCCATATTGGACACGCGAAGGCTATCGCGGTCAACTTTGGCTTTGCCAAGTACCACGGCGGACAATGGTCAGTGCTCTACAAGGTTCTCGACCGCGCACGACTAATTGGGGGTCTACAGTCTTTTGCGATACGACGATACGAACCCCGAGAAAGAGGAGGAAAAATACTTCACGGCTATCAAAGATATGGTCACTTGGCTTGGATTCACACCTGCCAAGATCACGCATTCGAGCGACTACTTCCAGCAGCTCTATGATCTTGCTGAGAAGATGATCAACCTCGAGAAGGCCTATGTCTGCTTCTGTCCCGATACTGAGATCAAGCTTCAGCGAGGTGGCGAGAAGGGATCCTCGCCGCGATACCGTTGCAAGCATGCCGAACAGACTGTAGAAGACAATTTATCCAAATTCAGAGCCATGCGCGACGGCCAATATCAGCCGAAGGAGGCCTTCCTCAGGATGAAGCAAGATATCACCGATAACAATGTGAGTCAACTGAAGGGTTTATCTGCATGCTCTCATACTAACCTATGAAGCCTCAAATGTGGGATCTTGCGGCATACAGAATTCCCAAGGAGCAGGAGCATTTCAGGACTGGAAACCAATGGAAGATCTATCCAACGTAAGTGTCTCAGCTGCCGGCGAACCATGACGATTAACACTCCTAGGTACGATTTCACGCATTGCTTGGTCGATAGCATGGAAAACATTAGGTTTGTTTCCTCTGTACATATCTTTAGTTCTTGGCTGATTCGATTAGCCACTCACTCTGCACACGCGAATTCTTGCTCTCGCGTCAAAGTTACGAGTGGCTCAACGCGGCGCTTGTTGATCACCAGCCTATGCAGCGCGAGTATGGTCGCCTCAACATTGCTGGTACCGTACTCAGCAAGCGGAAGATCCAGAAGCTTGTCGAGGAGAAGTTTGTTCGTAACTGGGACGACCCCAGGCTTTTCACCCTGGTTGCCGTCAAGAGGAGAGGTGTGCCGCCGGCGGCTATCCTGCAATTCGTGAACGAGCTTGGCGTCACTACGGCTGAAACGCTCATCCAAATCAAGCGCTTTGAGCAATCCATCCGCAAGTATCTTGAAGCTACCGGTGAGAATTCTTTATTTATTGGTCCTTGGAATCACCTGCCTAACGACCCCAGTTCCACGTCTCATGATGGTCCTTGACCCCATTCCGGTCGTCATCGAGGATGCTACGGAGAGTATCGAGCTGGACCTGCCGTTCTCACCCAAAGACCCCAAGATGGGCTCACACACCGTCAAGTTCACGTCAACCATCTACATCGACCGCTCCGACTTCCGTGAAGTCGACAGCAAGGACTACTTCCGTCTCGCCCCCGGCAAAACGGTCGGTCTCATGAACGCGCCTCACCCCATCAAAGCGACGTCATTCACCACGGACGAGGCTACTGGCAAGGTTACCGAGGTCCGTGCGGTGTTTGACAAGGAGGCCAAGAAGCCCAAGGCCTACATCACCTGGGTTGGCTCGGAGGGCTCAAGACGCGTAGAGGCCAGGGTACATAACTCGCTCTTCAAGAGTGACAAGCCCGAGGACGCCGAGGGCGGATTCCTGAATGACATCAACCCTGACAGCGAGGTCATCTACCCCGAGGCCATGATCGAGAGCGGTTTTGATGAGGTCAGACGGCGGGCGCCGTGGCCCGAGGCTGCTGGCGAGAGCGAGTTGGGCAAGGGCGGACCTGAGAGCGTGCGATTCCAGGCGATGCGCATCGCCTACTTTGTGAGTGACCAGTGTTTTGGGCCACTGCTGCCTTTTGAATGCACCTGCTAACTCGATGTAGGCCATGGACTCGGACTCCACAGACGACAAGATTGTTCTCAACAGGATTGTGTCGCTCAAGGAAGACGCCGGCAAGAACTAGACGAATTTATGGGCGGATCAAGAGCAGAATGTCGTTGATCAATGCATGCCATGGTAGACAAGAAATCAAGCATTAATTTCGAGCCGCCAATCCACACCGCTGTTGAGATGAGAAGCTGGTACTTCTCATGAACTCCTACAGGGAAACGAAGACACGAGGGGTTGCGATGAAGCGGGGGAAACAGCGCCGGAACGCACGAGTAGACGGACGCTCCTGCTCTGTACGTGCTCGGCCATATACTCCAGGCCGCATTGCGCTTGAACTGTCACCGCAGTTTGCTCCCCGTCAGCGGCCTTTCCCAAGTACTAGGGCTGTTGCATTTAGCATCGCGTCAGCGTTATCGAGATCATCATGCGGGATGAAACAAAATCATGCCAGCACTTAGGCTATACCCTCAAGTAACCTTCATCACCTTGCAATGCAACCTCGTACGATGCCAGCTTTATGGACTCG